GGCCTTTCTTTTATAGAAGGCGGGTGGGGATCGAAACTACCCACTATTTCTGCTTGATGAATTTGTAACAAACAAATTTCGTGACATTACGTGTACTCGTTCCACGACCGAACCCGAATCGACCACAGAGTCAAATGGCAGTCATAGAAACGAGTGTCAAAGCTTTCTTTAATATTTATTATTAATAAGTTTTAAATGTTTAAAGTGATATATATACTACTTTCAATAATAATAATAATGACTATGGAGTCATTATTATTATCGACCATTGAATAATCGTTAATTTATAGATCTAGCAACATTGACAAATTAAATAAACCATTCGTATTAAGGCCTCGAACCAATTTGACTTTATTAAATGACAATGACAGCTGACACTAACACAACTTCTTCAATATTAACTATAAAGACTACAGACTATCAAATAGTCGTTAAGTTGCAGATCCATTAATATTGGTAAATAAAATAAACCATATAACGGTTTTCAACTAATTTGACCCCGATATTACCAAATGATGATGAATGACAATTCCTTTAACATAAATAATAAATGCTATGAATTTACCACAGACTATCAATCCTTAACATTGTTTATTATTATCTTAAATATATTTATTTACTTGAATTAAATATCATTCGTTATATTTATGTAACAACATAATCATTATATATATATGAATTTGCGCCCATATACGAACAAATTGCATTGAACCGGGAAACCAAAAGTGTTTTAAAATTAGGTCACAAGTCTTATCAACCCCGATATGTTCATGCTCGTCATGGAATACCCTCAGTAAGCTAAGCCTGTGACCCTTAGGTATATAACAAAGCAAACGCGGCTCCTCACCAACAGGTGAATAACTATAATAGAGCACATCGTTTTGACATACGTATCGTCTGGGATCTAAATTACCTTCTCCGAGCTTACGTATGAGATCGGCGGTCTCGGAGTCGGCTGATTGAGCCATCTGCGCCCAGTTCAAGGGCCGTTCTATGTTATTGATTTGCAACGCTAGTGGATTCCTGCTCAAGTAATCCGTATGACCCATCATGGTACCTCTACGATATTGAATTTCAAAATCAAAGTCCTGCAGGTAAATGCTGCAGTGACCCTACTAAAATATGCTACTACTCGTTTATTACCATCCGTGTGGGCCTGCATGAGCACGGCACCATATCCTACACTGCTTGTGTGTGTGAACTACACAGTGGAAAGGCTCGGGTCAAAAATCGCAAGTATAGGCTCGCTAGTCAATTGCTTTAGTGTGTTTTAGATGCATTAGTGTGAGTACTTCGAACGCGCCAGCTTTCTATAACCGACCTATACTTCATAATAATTTTTTGTATCTAATAATATTGTTATATTAATAAAGTTATTAATTAAATCTACCACTTATTTAATGACTGTCTACAGAAAATGTAGTAACCGAGTTAAATATATAGCTAAGCCGAAATGAAAAATATATAAGCCATGTTACTTTATAGGTTAATAAAAGAACAATATAATAACTTACACATTTAATTTAATGATTATAGTAAACTTTTAACACACTACAAAATAACTTTCAGTAATACAAACTCAAACTTAAGTATAATAAAAACTAATTCAAACCCAGCCTCACATAGAGCTAATCAATAACATCTACTTTATTTTGTAGACAAATATATTTATCTTAATATATTTCCTAATTAGTTTGTAAAAAGTAATAGTTATGAACGATAAATTTAAAAAAGCTTAATAAGTACTTAAACCATCATGTATGTAATGATGGTATTGTGTACATACTTGTGTAAAGCAAAATAATGTTTTTATCCAAAACCTTAATGTTATACCAATATATTTTATAAAAATATAGGAACCGAAATTGTACTGTGTTATCATTTATTATAAATTGAAGGATAAGTAGTCGAAATTCAATAATTTGAAAATGTCTGCACCATTGTGTCTTTTTATATCCAGGGGCCTTGTCGTATGATACAAATGTACAATATTCTTCTTCTTCAAAGGCAGAATGTTTTTTTTTCTTTCAGGAATTTTGAACATTTGGAGATCTCTGAAATTATTAGATTTATAATTTTAGTATAGTAGAAAAATACAAATATATTACAAAATTTACCTATCTTAACTTATTTATCGTTTTCTGTTCGACTTATCTCTGCTGGAGACAAGACATGATCAAGACTGCATCGAAAAATTGGTTCTAGGATAAAAATGATATTTTTAATGCTAAAATAATCAAAATGTTTACCTTAGATCATCTATTTACTAGAGTCTTCGTTCATCTCAGCAGCATATGTTCTAGGTTTCGTCAATACCATATAATTTCTTGAGTATTGGAAAAAAGCGATAGTAACCAACGCCGAGTAACAAATTGGGCGTTTCGTGCCTACATTTTCTTCGCCATCTATAGATATTATATTAAGAATTTTTTAATGGTTTACATCATTTATTTCTTGAAATAGAGGTTTAAACTTTTAAAGTGGAAACGGGCCTTCTGTAACAATAACAAAGTTCTATTTCACGAAGCTTAATGTTTATATATATAATTTTTTCGTAAAATAATGCTGTATTATAAATATTATTTTATAAACTTACCCCAAGATACATATAGATTGTCCTATGTTAGAATATTTTCACATAAAACAAGTTTTAACTTCGCTAAAAATGGCTACCTAACTCACTGGTAAATAACGATTTCAGCGAGGGGAGAGCAACTTTTATAGAGTAAGATCCCAGAGCGTTCTGACATAACTTATTTTCACATGGTTGAAACCTTCACGAATTAGTAACGTCTAGTATACTTTAAATACCTGCCTAATTCTGGAGCTTGCCCTGTGACACCTGGGCAGGTACCAGGTGAGAAAGGTAACTAAAAATATGAGTTATCTAACTTAAATTTGTATGGCTGAATTTTATATATATTTTGTAGAATATTATTCTAAACTAGAATTATAAAGTGTCAGACACTTTTCATGGACCAGAGCTTTTGTCAGACGCTTTAAAGCTCGACAAAAAATTAATGAACTTTACTTATTTTTTTCATGTCTGACTTTTAAATATATTATTCAAGTAACTACTACAAAGTTATATTTCATCAGTCAGACAAATTCGAGTGGTATGGTATGGTAACAAAATGGTATGTATCAGAATACCAAATACCAACAATTTTGGAGCGTAAGTGTAGCAGTGCCAAATTTTAGTTCCAAATGTGAACAATCTCATTTGAGCGGCGCTTTTGTCGCGGTTATTGTTTATCAGAATACCGAATTGTAACATGTCAACGAACGATTTGACAGCAAAAATCCGCTGTGAGAGTGTGTGAAGTGAGTTACAGAATCGCAGGGTTGTACTGCGACAACACCGCTAAAACCACATATGATCCGCGCATACAGGATATTAGCTTGCCAACAGATCGACTCGCCTTTTGCACAAATACAAAATCGGCCTTTTGTAATTAATGATTTAGGTTTCCTGCGATTTTTATTGACGCGAGCATCTTGACATACACGGTTTTCCTCTAATCGCTATGAGCTCGGCCTTACCTGACCATTGCAAGTAAAATAGGTGCTTTACCTAGCCGATAAATATTGTCCTCAATTAAGGGAAGCGGGTAGTGATATTTGACTGTCTCCGAGTTTAGGGTTCTAAAATCGACACAAATCCTATCTGACCCGTCTTTTTTCTTTACAAGTAAAATTTGACTAGAATACTCAGAATAATTAGGAAGTCAGACTCTCTAATTATTTTTTATCCAATAGGTCTTTTATTATTTCTCTTACGCGTAATTTTTCATCGTACGATATTTTATAAGGGCGGTAAACAACCCAACTACTAAGAAATATATGAATTTTTTAACTATGCTCATTAAACGTTCCCTATCAAACCCTAACAGCGGAGTATTTACTTGTACGACGTCGGTAGATTCGATAGTCATAACTCTCTCAACACAGATGGTAAGCCTTTGCACACCGCGAGTACGTGTATGGATAACGCCATCCCGATTTTACACGTCGGTCCGCACGATCACCGGGAGATACATGCTTTTATCGCACACGACATAAAAATATATTTCAAGCGATATCTTAGAAAATTCTACTGTCAGAGTAGTACAAAAAGATACTTCGATGTCTTGGCTTCCTAAACCGCGTAATACAAGAAAACACGATATTTGAGTTTACCGTAAACAATTAGTTACAAACTCGGAAATTAAAGACACCGTCGACCCACTATCTGGCAGTTGTAACATCATTTTGCTTATAGCAATTAGCTAATGAATCACTACAAATGTTAACATTTAGCCTACCGTTCGACTTAGAACACTGTCGAACAAAACAGTCCTTCGTTTTATGTCCTACCTTCTTACAAAATGTGCAAATTATTTTGTCATTAAAAAACTGCCTTTTATTTAAACTTGTATTGTTTGTAGACCCAGATGCATTTTCATAATTAGTTTTTTTAGGACACAAATTTGTCTATGACCAATTTCCCCACATGAAAAACATTTAATATTAGACTTAAAATAATCTCGCTTTCGGGAATTACCTCGCAAATTTGTCCTTTTAACATGATTTTGTAATATATAGCGCGGTTCTAGGGGGCTTGGTATATAATGAAAGGAATTTAACTAGGTCTTCCGATGATAAATTAGCACTTGTCGCGGCGGCGCGAACTTATGGGTCCTTAATACCCCGAATAACTACTGCGACAATAATTAACTAATCACTCATTCCCCGTGCGACACGCAATCGTAATAAAAAGCGTGTAGCGTATTCCGCATACGTGGGATAACTATCAGAGGCGGTTTTCATTACGACGAATAAAATATTTGCTATGTCTACTCGCTGCGGACAAAGTGATTTAAATTCCCTTTTAAACTCAGACCAACTACGATTATTACTAAGCCACTCATTTGGCCATACTTTAACATCTCCTTTCAAACAATATCCAATCTGAGATAAGCACTCACGATCATCCCAATAATTAGACAACCGTGCAGAGTCTACCTCCTCACACCAATATCGAAATCGTTAAAAGACGGATCGAAATTAGAAATATAAATGGAGGTCGAACTTACCGGAATTGTGCTCATCGCACTTACAAGTTTGTTGGTCACCTGATTAAGCACCAGGTCAGCGCTTGACTGGCACCCGCCTGTTATACATGGCACCGGAGCCGGCCGTGGTGACACCACTGGTGGACATGGCTCAGTCACTTGCGTCACGTTAGGGCTGGACGTATTGTAACGTTTCTTCAAGCGCAGGGACAGGCACACCGTCCTTTTTCCGTATTCGCCGCTACCCTCCATTATTTTTTACAAAACGTATGACACTCGCGTTTCAAACTGACTAAAGTAAAAACATTTGGGCGTAAATTTAAACTAAGCAGAAATGAGAACGAATCCCACTTCTGAAGTAAGAAATTAACAAATAAAATTACTAAACAACAAATTAGATTACACGAAATTTACCACACAACTACTATTAATTAAAAAAGAACACATAACCACAAATTCAACAACAATAACTGTAAGTGACGTCTATATTATCTAGCTAGTGCGAGCGGCGAAGAAGTGAGCACGGCCATATCGCGCGCCGTGCTTTTATAGCCTAAAACCAGTTCAGTCCAGTATACCCCACTCGTACGCTTCAGTTGAGTTTTTACAGCTTATTATATGTTAAGTTTCCTTGGTATATGTTACCTTGACGATTTAGGGTCACTTGTTAGGATAAAATTGTATTGTAAATAAATAAAATAAAAATTCAGAATATATATAATTAAGGTTTTATAAAAAAAAAATGTTTGGTGAAATAAAAGAGTACAACAAAATTTATATTTATATGATATAATATAGACAATATTCTACATTGGCATGAATAATATGAATTAAAGCCTGTTTATTTCCAATACTAAATTGGCATTAAATAACATATTTATTGCACTTTTTCTACGTTTTATGTGGTATTCTATTTAATAGCCTTTGTATTGTTCATCGCTGCCACCTGAAATATAATTCAGTATTACAATATACATCCAACGTTTAACATACTTTTAAGCTGCAACTGCTAAACCAATTTTGATTTATTTTTACTTAGAGCATGATGAGTTATTTTGTAACCGATATTGGCAAGTGAAGTCTTCTTTCTCTTTCGAAACTATACTATACTTATATTATAAAGAGGAAAGGTTTGATTTTTTGTTTGTTTGAAATGAATAGGCTCCGAAACTACTGGACCGATTTCAAAAATTCTTTCACCATTGGCAAGCTACACTATTCCCGAGTGACATAGGCTATGTTTCATTTTCAAAAAAAATTAGGGATGCTTACTAAAACTTGAATAATCTAACCCAAGGTGTAAACAAATAAACAAAAAACTTCCTTCAATCGTGTGCTCTGCGAAAACTATTTATGATAGGACAAAATGATGTATTGCAATTTTTCAGGACACATCACTATCTATAAAAAATGATATCGACAGCATGTCTCTATCTTTTATAGTTACGTCACAATAAGCGTCCTTTTATTAATTTTTTTTTATTAAAATACCACCGCTAGAAAAGGCTCTTTATTCGTACCAAGGTATTGATCCTTATGAAAATAATTACCAACGTTTCACATAAGCTACAATTTAATGGCATAACTACGAATAAAGCATGGTGGTCCCCATGACTGGTGTTCTCCTACCGTTTCCTTTGAATAGTTCACTACTATGTAATATATCAAAAATCTTAGCCACAGCAACGCTTGGCCGAGTCTACTAGTAAATTATATAAAGCAAGTGATAACATTAATTTAAGAAATGCTTGACGTCCAATATAACATGGAGTCTCAGTTCAGAATAAGAAAGATAGGAATAACAATACTTAAAAAATAACATTATATAATACAAGTTTCATGGTTTCTATTACTTTATTGACCTAGAATGTGGCCCTCTAAGCCCTGAGTTCGTGCATGCATTAATACACGCACGGTGAAACCCCAAAAAACGACCCGAGTTAGGCACAGAAGGCTGACCATCTTGTTAAAATCACGAAACAGAAATCTGTGGCCAAGAGAACGAGAAGAACGAAGGAGAACAATAAAGAAGATTTACCATTGGGGGCCTCATAGCCTAGCGGTCTTATTAAGTGGCAGCTAGGTGAGGGGTACCGGGTTCGATTCCCGGTTCGAGGGCAAGTTTTAATTTAATTAAAATTTGTTCTCGGCCTTTGGGAGGGTTGTGCGGTACCGGGCGAGTGCCTAAACCGTACATGGAGGACATGATCGAATTTCTAAGGCAAAAAGCACGAAATATAAAAATCTCATACTTGACGCTGGCTAATGCACAAACCGTGCCAGAGCCATAAAAAAAAAAGATTTACCATTTCATCGATCCTCTTGAACTGCCATACTCAGTTAACTGGATACAAAAAAGGTCTATGGTCGAAACGGTTGTCATCCGGGCTATACGATTCAGCCCGGTACGAAAGGGTCAATACTGTCATCTTATGCCTGTTAATCGCATAGCACCTGCAAGAAAAATGCTTTACTTTATCAGCTACCTGACAAAATTCATCAATTAAGTTCGTGTATATTATGGAAACTGTCCAAAAGTCACTCGGTAATAACATTAATAATTTGGTCAAGAGATTTTGGAGATTATTGACCCCACCCATGTAACGCGCTGTAACGTTTTTCTGTACCCAAGTACAGTAAAACGTTTCGTGACCACCTAGTGACTCTTAATACCTAAAAGTTCCAATTTTGTGGTGTAAAGTACTGGAAAGTCGAAAATAATATTAAAAATAACGCGTAATTTAATCCCCGCCCCGTATCGTAACGTTTTACAAAAGGACCCCCTCCCCCCCAAAATTCGTTATGTAATACTTGAACGCTCCCCAAACTATTAACTAATAGTTATAGTATAATATAGTTAATAACTATTTTATTGATAATTAAAGAGAGGGAAACTTATATTACAATCATGCTATGGCAATTTGGAGTTAAATAAAAATTCAGTTTTATTTTAAATTTTTAATGATAGCCATCTATCAAATCGTTAAGGGAAACATTGGGGTGTTGCTACGATTAAATCATATATTCTTATGCTGGGAGTTTCGTTTAAAATCAAAAAATAAACCAACCAATACAAAATGTAATCACATGTTATTCTGAAAGTAAACATAGACAAATAACAGAATATATAAATTTGAGCATAATAAGGTTTTTAGTTTTTACTATCAGCACAACGGCGGCTGACGGCTCGTTGGTCTAGTGGTTAGTACCCCTGACTGCGAATCCATGGGTCCCGGGTTCGAACCCCGGCTGAGACAAAACATGGATGTGATGAGCATTTGGTGTTGAGCTTAGGTCTTGGGTGTTTAAATATGTATTTATATGTCTATCTCTCTATATGTATGTATATCCGTTGCCTAGTACCCATAACACAAGCTTCACCAGCTTAGCATGGGACTAGGTCAATTGGTGTGAATTGTCCAATCAAAAAAAAAATGCAGAAATTATAATTTTGCGTGAGAGTGTATTTACACATGTATTTATAAATTTTTTGTTATTTGGTTTTTTCGCATATTTATTTTAAGTTCTTGTTGTTTGTTGTGCATAAATGTATAAATAAAATGTATAAATAGTTTTAATAAACACAATGAAATATTTATGTAGTAGTTTACTTTCCGAATTCCTTTTTAAAATTCTTCCCACAAGCTATACTATATATAAACAGTCTATCTATGCATATAGGTTAATATTCATTAGTTCCCTTAATGGAAAACTAGATGGCGTTGCGTTACTAATGTAATAAAAAAAAGTCCACTTTGCCTGTCTATTGCCAGTATAATATTGTAGTCTTTGATTACAATAAACAATTGAATACATATTTGATCAAATCCTAAACACAATATATTTCTATGGCGTTGTTTTGTAATCGCGTTTTATACATGCACAACGCTATCTGCATAATCTCCTAAACGGCTGGACCGATTTTGAGGAATTTTTTCGGTTTCTTTTAAAATTAGAAGCGAACCCGACATACGTCTCGTAACTCACGTAACCCATTCTCGTGGCGGCGCGTCGCCACGCGTCGCCACGCCAGGAATCGGTTTTACGTGCGGCTATAGATGTTTCACATCAAAATGAATAAAATAAATTCACCTCCTGCAGCGTCCTTTCACTCCAAATATGGACAAGTTTCTCGAACATCGCGTATGGACCACACGAGTGCATCTTCCTCAACCTCCCGAACTCGGACAGCTCCGCATACGTCATCCCCATGTCCTGCTCGTCTGTTTGTGTGATTCTACCCTCGGACAGCGGTTCCAACTCAGCCGTCGGCGGCGCATCCAATATATCAGATAGCGAGGGTAGTTCTTAACTGCAAAAATAAATTAGGCGAATGTTGCGAATATCATGGACTGCAAAATAAACCAATAAGTTTATTCTCAACCAACTAAATATCACCTCGAGACTGTCAACTACCATTTACTTACCGGTCGGCCACTATCATTTTAAAAGCTACTTGGAGGCAGCTATACTCTGATTTTTTATTCCGTAGATTTTAAGTGTATTTATTTTTCTTATACAAACGTATCATTGTGCCGAGCGAAAGTTAAAAAAAATACCAGCAGTAGTGGTATGTTATCTAAAGCTGGCTTCAACACATTTACACTTTGTGCTTGTGTAGTGTCAGTGAATAAGCGCGAGCCGCGATGTCCCGCTGAATATGCATTATGAAAAGACTGTCCGTCTCTCTCGCGCTCGGTCAAGCTTATGAGTATAAAAGAGACGGTTATTGTTTTGCTTTTGCTACTGTTTATGTTAGTCTTTTTTCTCATTATTATTTTCTGTGATTGTTTACTTATTTGGTTGGAGGTTAGAATACTTTGAAAAAAAGTCTTATGAAATATATTCCGTCTAAACATTACCAGGACAATCTCGTGAAATGGTGTACAATGTTTTTAATTATTTTAAGCATCTTAATAAAGACAGTTTAATGAAAAAATTTAATTTTTAATTTGACATCAGTGTTTCTAAGAGGAGTATTGAAAGAATTGTTAGTGAAGTAAAAGTGAAGTGTTCAGCTAGATGGAGCTTATAACGAAAAATGAAAAATTATTTACACGAACTACTCTTTAACGTTCTTGGTCGGGCTTAGAACTATTGGATCCACCCTCGTATGCACATAATATTTATATGTATTTGACACATTTTTATTTATTTACAACCCAACCTTACTAAAACCAGAGTAGACTAAAATATATAGCTTGGCAAAAAAGTCATATTTTTAAACATATTTATAGTTAATTCGCCGGCTCCGGAGAATAAAATGATAAATGCAAAATCACAACTTTACAGGAAAATTAAAAAACCGTTTTAATAAGATTACTTCATTTGGGTCCTAACTCCTAGGTAGGAACTTGGGAGTTAGCTTAAATGATAGCTAATTTTTAGTGTTATCTCTATACTAAGTTGAAATTTTGAAAGATTCCACTGAACTTGAGATATTTAGGAAATAAAAGAATAGACTAAATTTAACAATAACATGTGTTGCTAACATGCACTTATCATTTTTTTCTCATTTAAACTTCATTAATACGAATATTGTAATATAGTCCTGTCATGTTATTCTACGATATACGAACTCTCCAGCAATGTCGGTAATGTAATATTATCATCTTATTCTTGTTATTATTCAAATAATGAATTTACGATATGAGTAAATTAGACGTTTTTTCTGGGTATTTAAATTAAACTACTTAATTATAATCAACTGTTATTTATTTTGGGACCAACATTTAAATCCAACAAAGAGGATGACAAAAATAATACTTTTCAATAAAACAAAACATAAGCAAACAAACATAACATAAAGTCACTCTCAAATAAATCAGTCTATAATTAATCTATCTATCTCCATACTCAAATCTTCATAATTAAGTGGCATCTTCGAGTAAACATTCAAAATCACGAAACCTAATATTCCAAATAAAATATAAGCGAAATGTAAGTAATTTCTATCCAAAAGTATATTATAATTTAAAAAAGTCTTCTTATTAGTTACTCAATATTTAAAAAAATAGTCTTCATCAGCACAGTTATCGGTTGGTGCTTCTGCCTCATCAATAAATTTAAGAGATTCATAGAAACCATGATAGTAGCTTGGTATGTCATTTGATTTACAAAGACTTATGAGATCAGAATGTAAGGCTTTACGTTTTGGCAGAGTCTCGGTGTATACAATTTTTAATTCAGGACTGTTATTAATATTAGGTGTATTGGAAGCATGTCTAGCACTCCGTTTGGATCTCTGTTGGCGTTCAATGTTGAGCTTAGAATACTCAGCGTCAAAATCATATTTAAACCGCAAGATGGATGGTTCTGAACTGGTTACATTGATTTCCATTATTTTAGACCACTTTATCTTCTTCCCTTTATCATCTTTACCCCAGTGTTTGTCCTCGAGTAATTCTTTAATGTCGTAGAAGTCACTTTGTAACATTTCTTTAATAATATATTTCTCGCCATTTACTTTGGCATTGGTAATTATTGCGTACATTTGATCTGGACTATACACAACTTGGTTTTTCAGCTCACGTTCTATAGTAGAATGCATCGAATCGCCCTCGCTCTGGCCATGACCAGTCTCAAAAAATCTGTGAGTGATATAAATTTGAAGCTTTATGGCAGCAAACATGTACAGAGCGAATATGAATATGTTTTTATTCTGCCCTGCGCAACCATCAGAATAAAATGACAAGTTTTTAATGCCTCTCTGTTTTTCTGTATTAAGAAATTGCCATAAACAACTACCTATTTCTATTGCTCCTCTTTTTGCAATCTGCGCATGCCAAACGTAGCAATAACCTTTGCGTTGAGTGGCGTCAAATATTGTGAAATTGTAAATAGGATACTTTCTCTTGTAGTGGAATACTCCAACAGCAGATTGAGGTATATTCAACACTTTTTGCAAATCAAATATAGCTATTGTAGTTTGCAATCGATTGCAAGATTCTTTTTCTTCTTTCTTTATCTGTCGAACTCTTTCTTTATTTCGCTGATGTTGATCGTACTTTTCTTGCAAGGTTTCTTGAGTAGCGTTATCAGCTTGGCGGTAAAGAGCGCATTTAGAGCACTGATCCTTTTTTGGCTTATAGAAAGAATTATTAAATCTGGTATTAAAAATTGTCTGATACTGCCGTTTTGTAGCCATCCGAAAATCAAAACTTTCTTGTATGAACCAGGTCTTGTATAGGCGATACATTTTAGGTATGTTAAGTAGTTCTGAAAGATATTTTTTGTTCGTTTCTTTGCGCACATATTGAGCTTCTACTGCTGGGAATAAGTTAATGTGATCGACTATGCTTTCTTCTGTATCATTGCGCATTTTGCGCGGTCTGTTCTGATGTAGTCCTCGTAGATCTTGGTAATCCTTCGCTATTGTTATTTTTTTCCAATGCGGTATGAATAATCTGATTTGAAATACACAAAGTGCTTGCAAAAAAGGTCCTACATACTTGAACTTTCTCTTTCTGTAAATCAAAATAGTATTTGACGGTTTGGGTGCGATTATTCTTTCGATCTAACTTGATTCTTTTGACCTTCTCAACTGTCGTGTAACTAACAATAAATTGCCATTGCCGCTCATGATCTCCTAATCTATAATACTGCTGCATAATGTCTTCTCTCTGGCTCAATGTAAATTTTTCTTCACATTTTTTTGCGCATTTACATCCTCTTGTAATCTTTTTTTTTTCGTATATTTTTTTAGATCTGCATCCCATATTATAGCTTTCTCCCGAGTTCTTCAATTTCTTACTCTTTACATCTTGATGTTCTTGTTCACTCCGAATCCGTTTTCTTGTCAACAATTTCTGCTTATTAGTAGAAAATGATGATGACACTTTGTCTACACTTGCGGCAGAAGTTTCAGGCCTTGAGTTTATATCGGGACTTTGGCAGATAGCTGTTATGGTATTATCACCATCATCTAAAGTAGTTGTAGTGACTGTCAATATAGAATCTGAATTGTTTTCAGGCTGTAGAGTTGTGTCCAAACTAACGAGGTCTGTGAAATCTTCATTTTCGATGGAAGACTGTACATTCTCCAAAATATGTGAAGAAGAAGATCTTTTGTTGAAAATAGGATTCAAACAACGTTTTGTTTTTTTTTCTGCTATTAATATCGCGTGGTTTGGCAGAAACCGGTGACGCAGTAGTATTTGTGTTTGTTAAAGATGTAGGTGTGCCCGTCAACTTAGCAGCTCCATATATGATTGAAGGTGATGCGACGAAGTCGATTTGTTGGAATACGGAGGAGACATTAGAAACAGTCGAAGGCGTTCTTGTAATATTCTCAATAGCTGCTGTTAAATAATCAGAGTCTCCGCCAAAACTTGATGGACTCCTGCTAAGTCTGTGTTGATCTGGACTTGGTATATACTCTGACACGTCCGGCGAGAAGTCAACAGCAATTTCAAATTCGTCATCGTCGGAGTAATGTTTGTTCGGCAATCCTGAAATTAATTAACTAAAATGTAAATACTTGCTGATGCCCACTGAGGACTAAATTACTAAGGACTAAATTATTTTCGTTTTACTTAACGACAACGAATACGGTTTGAAACCAAAAATCAACTAGGTAGGCGACAGAACAACCTTAAATTTTTATTGAAAATTCACACTTATTGCATTGTAATAAAGTTCTGCCCGGGAAGGGTTTATGTATCGTGATATCGCCTGCTAGACGTAATCAAAATAAAGAAACGGATACTAAAGAAGCAATACTTCAATTTTGTTACTATAAAGATGCGTGCAAAAATATATATAAATAGCAATCAATAAGTATAATATCTCCCAAAAATACGTTCATATGAACAGCTGTCAGTAGGAGTCAAATATTTTTTAGACTGCTTAGGTATGTATTAACCATACGTGCAAAGAAAACTTGTATAATTACTCCAATATTATGTTAGCTTAGTAGGGAAGCAGCTGGCCACAAAACAATAAGTAGGTACTTACCTTGGGGACATTTTTCCGGTTCTGGATGAATTATTTCTCCTATATTATCCATAATGGCATTTAACCGGGCCGCCCTCAGTTTCTTCATCTTAAAAACACTGCTAGTCTATTTAATATCACTATAGAATTAACACATTCCATTAAATCCGATCATTCCAACACAAAAATAAAAACTCGCTTCGCTTAGTGACGTATAAGATCATACTGATTTAAAAAGTAAACAAACAATAACCCTTGTCGGCGAACGCGCCGGTGTGTGCTATCCCTTTCTTACATTAGCTCAATCAACACGGCGGAAAGAAACAACAACATACTTTGTTGTTCAGTACGATTCCATGTGTTTGGCTAAAATCGCATTAGCAAACGAGCTCAGCTAATTTTGAACTAGAATAAAATGATAAGTGCGTTTGTCATAGACGCGGTAGGTATTATTTACTAGAATATTAAGATAAAAGCTGACATTGTGCGTAGTCATCAAAAATATTTTGGCAAAGCAATGTTATCGTATATTGTTAGATCCAAAAAAATCGTTGAATAAAATAATATCTTTTTCTAACTTTTAAATAAACAAAAGAAAAATCTGAAAAAAAATGGGCAGATGTATTAGCACCTCAGGATCCTGAATTTGCAATAATACTAAAACTATGATAATAGCGGTTATCATTTTGTTCTCCGGAGCCGTCGAATTTGTGTTAAATTGCATTAGTGTGAGTACTGTGAACGCGCCAGCTTTCGATAACCGACCTATATATGTATGTACCTGAATATTTTGTAAGGAGAGATTCTCTCTTGGACATCCGCCATTACTTCTAAACTTCGGTATGAGTCCTGTGGCGGCTTGAAATATGGCCAATACAGCCTTCACAGCTGTATCAATTATTATCAGAAAGTGATAACTGCCTATTTCACTCGCCAACTGAAATATTAGATATTATTTTCATAAGTAGTGAAGCGACAAGACAGCGAGACTTGCTTTTAGTTTTAAAAAAATCATAACTTCGGATTAACAGTTGTTACTAGGTTATTACTTAAACCTAGTTGTATTTTCTATAGAAAAGAAATTACCGTAAAATCTATATAAATAAAACCGCAAAAAAATGCTAAGCGCAAAACTTAAGAGCATATGGACCTGAATGCTGAATTCGAATTTTTATCCTTTGAACTCTGTATAAGGTTTTTATGGAGATCAATTTTGGAAAAATATTAAAAAAAAGAATTATAAGACGGGATATGGTGACTTCCGCATGTCAAAAACGACAATTTACAAGAGAGCAGTGTTGCCCTTGTGGCTTCAAAGCGCGACTCTCATCCCTGAGGACGTAGGTTCGAACCCCGGCTGTGCACCAATGGACTGAAAACTGAGGCCCAGACCTAAAATGATTTTTTATTTTTGTGCTTTTTAAGATAAAAATATTATTAACTAAAAAAAAGCTTTTTCATCAGACTGTCTCTGTGCCTTTTATCTCATTCTCGATCCCTTCGTTACATTTTTATATAAGAAATAAATTCAATATAGTTTGTTACGTTTTTGAACGTCTTAAAATCAGTATTACCTCCTTAGCTCATAGCTTAGTTTCTTCGCTAGAGTTTTTCGAAGCCATATAACAAGTAACGAGCAATTTATTGCATAGCTCTTTAGGGTCTTTGGGCGTATAATTAAAATCACATACAACTCTACGTACGTCATCTAATACTTGTGATTGTGGAAGGATGATAATTAAAATAAAATTAGAATAATTATGTTAATAACTAATTAATCTAAAATATACTTAATAAACCTAAGTTTAGTTTTAATTGTAATTGGTTTATTAACCGTAATTATATTTTTAACCTACCTCTAAAAAAATAATTTAAAAATGATTTATGGGACAATAAATAAAAAAAGTGTGTGTGTACAAAGTACACATGTCAGAAGTGAAACTTCAGTGGCAAACTAATCTCGAAATGTTGTTCATATTTTTATACAAATCTAAAAGTTTAGATTTCAGATACTTAGAGGGACGGAAAAAGGAAGATATGTTAGAAATTTAATGAATTTAATTGTCATTAAAATATTAAGTGTCGAATAATAAATAATAAATAATAAATAATAAATAATAAATAATAAATAATAAATAATAAATAATAAATAATAAATAATAAATAATAAATAATAAATAATAAATAATAAATAATAAATAATAATAATAAATAATAAATAATAAATAATAAATAATAAATAATAAATAATAAATAATAAATAATAAATAATAAATAATAAATAATAAATAATAAATAATAAATAATAAATAATAAATAATAAATAATAAATAATAAATAATAAATAATAAATAATAAATAATAAATAATAAATAATAAATAATAAATAATAAATAATAAATAATAAATAATAAATAATAAATAATAAATAATGTGACGGTAAATTTTTTTCCAACGCCGATAAAGAAGTTTGACTTCAAAAACCTGGCAATAATTAAGAAAAATATAAAAAATTAAATTCAGTAGCTTAAGTTGTAAATATGAGAGTTGAGACCTTACGAACTTCAGCTTATTCCTAATAAGTCTAAATGAATAACAATTACTTATTACTATATTAGCAGGATCTGTTAGAATGTGCCTTGTCCGTTGAATTTATTAGTATCCGCACTTGATTAGTAATATAGCTGTAGTTTATTGTGATTATACAACAAAAATATATCGGAAATAAAACAAGGAGAAAATTTTCACTTCGTTTGAATTTCTATCAATGACGCTTTAACATACCAGCCCAGTACGATATAATGCACCCATCTCCTTTTCTTCTTGAATAGATTCAAGAATCCTGTTCAAATTGCCTTCAAAGTCCAGAGCCCATTGATTAAGGGTGCACACTGCTACTACTGCTTTACGGTCCATTATTGCCTCTGAAAAACATCTGAAAAATCTCATAAAATCTGATAAAAGCCATGAGGCTGATTGCAGGTGGATAAAAAATAAAAAAACTTTAGAGGTGTCAAGGGACACCCGGATGTAACGAAATTCCTTTCGATTAATTTATATGTTAATTGGTATCATAACAGTATGATAGATTTTCTCGACACCAATCTTACGACGAATAAAAAAAGCCAACATCACGAGGTGTTCCCAGGCGGTCATCCATCCAAGTACTGACCTCGCCCGACGTTGCTTAACTTCGGTGATCGGACGAGAACCGGTGTATTACAATAGCAAATAGCAAAAAAGTGTCGTGACAACTTTTCGTAAGAATTTTTTCCGTCTAGCCCCGTTTCACAACGCGCGATAAGAAACTTCGTTCCAAAAATAATAATAATTAAATATTTGTATGAAAAATTTTTGTTCTTTTCAAAAATGCATAGGAATACCTCTTTTACCTATTACCTTTATACTACAAAAATAAAAGAATTAACTGAATAATTCGTTCAGAAATAAAATTAGTAAATTTGAAAGTTCATTTTCCTAATTCCTAAACAACATGATGTGGCCTATTTTGTGTTAAGTTCATTGATGTGTTGACACGAGACAGACAAGCTTATAATCGACCCACAGCCCGTGGAATCCAGTGCCAGGAACCGGGCAATAACCTCTTTGGGCAACCCTTAATCCTTTACAACCGAAGCACTTTGTTCGTTTAAAAACCGAACGTTCGATTTTTAAACGAACGCCTATTTTTAACTCAGTTTTGTTATGACAATAGTATTGGCTAGATTTAATAAAAAGGTTATAGTGGGTTCATAAATTATATATTTATTTTTAATTTTAGTAAGCATGCGTCTTACAAGTTCCTCATATAAATTATAGACAAAGAAATATACGGGACAGCGCCCGTAATACTCATAAAAGAGCACCAGCACTAAGGCTGTCAGGACTGCGCCTGATATGTGTTCAAAGAACACATCATTCGGGACAGCGCCCGCCACGCGCACAGGATGCACGTCTGCCGAGGCCCGCTTCTCAAGGTTGCTGGCCTCAGGAACCATGACCGCACCACATTGGCAGTCCGTTTCAACCAGCAAGGCACACACTTGCCTCACGTTCGCACGATAGCCAACGAATCACGCGCGCATCCTTAACATAGGAAATAACACATTAGAAACACCTTTTGACGGCTACCCTCAATATGAGAACGAGGCGGCGGCGTCCTAATTGACAGTTCACGGGAACTTATTCTAAAATTAACGGTTGTTTACAAGGCTTATTTGTGAGCGAAGTCCTTTCCCACTTCTGATTTTAGCAACCAGAAGTGATAATCAAATAAAAAAAACTATTCGAAATAACCTACGAAGCGATTTAACCAAAAATAACTTCATTAAACAACAAATCACGGTATTCTCGAAATCACACTAAATCTACCTTAAAATTAACTTATACAATCAAAACAACACGACTGGGTATTTTAAAAACAACCGTTAACCTTTAAACAATTACACAAAAACCACCGAATAAAAATAACACAGAACGAACTCACAGTCTGCGGCCTCGACACCAACCACTTTTCTTGTCAACATCCGGGCAACAACAGAGCGCGTGGCATACTGAGGCCTTTCTTTTATAGAAGGCGGGTGGGGATCGAAACTACCCACTATGATTTCTGCTTATATTTATTTAGTTATTAAGCTTACAACATCACACACAGTATTATATTTTGTTGTTTTAAATATTAAATTTTAGTTTTCTTTATATAGTTTTGTCTATTGATTCGCTTATTTTGTTTTATTTTTCGTATATAATATTGTTTATCTATGTAATCTGTTTTGGCTTTCTGTACCGTCTGTTTTGTAATATTATGTATGTAAGATTACTTATAATTAAATAAATAAAAATTCAAGTATTACAAAATAAAATTATAAAAATACTGTTCCAGTATAATTATCTTGCACCTCCCATAAATATATATCGAGACACAAACCTAATGAATTTAAAACAACTTTATATTTATAATACATGTAATTCTTGTCAAAAAAAATAATAACAAGTTCTCTCCACAGTAGTCTAGCTTTCTCTAAACCGCCCCACGTGTGACTCATAGAAGTATGCGTCGAAGGAGTTATCTTGCATTACCTAAAGTACGTACGAAGTACGGCAAAAAAAAATGTTTACCTACGAAGGCGCACAGCTGTATAATAAACTACCCACATATATAAAAAATATTACTTCGATCAATTCATTCATAAGATGTTAATAATGGTAGGGGAGCCCACGATGCTAAATGGGGATTTACTCGAGCGTCGTAGAGACCTATTGGGATGCAAAGCTTAGATAAAAGAAGAAAAAAATGTTAAATGATATATACCTTTTCATCGGTGGGGGAAGCGGCTATAGATTGTTAAATATGTAAAAAAAAACTGTTGCATGGACATCCTCGAGCGCGTCAGATATTGATAGCATCAATGCCCTTCGTATTTTTAATAATGTACGTATGTTAATCTGATCGTTTGCATGTGCGGGTGGTTGTATTTAAGGGTTGAAAATGAAAAAAAAAAAAATATGAGCGGTCAGATTTTCTAAGGAGTGTTAAGTGCACCAAAAAAAGCTCTCATTCACTAATCTGACGATTTCGATGGGACGCAAACCCACGGCAATTTTCATAATTTGCAAAAAAATAGCAATTTTGAAATACTCAAGGGAGAAAGTCATTTATATGTTCTAAACGTACTGTCTCATAATCTGACAATTATCTGAGGGATTCGCCTGATCTGACAAAATTTTTTTAGAAAAACGGTTCACCTAAAGGGCCACCCTGCAACTTCCCGCTAATTCCATTCCTGGGCGCTTAAAATTGATATTTTGGCTCGCTGAGTTCAAAGAAATAAGCATTTGGCTCTCCCAGCTCGAAGTCGAGTTTTGAAATATTTTTGGAATTTTCAAACCGCAATAACTTTTGAATGGATCAGCAATTTTTAGCGGTGGCGGATTCGACGCAGTTTTATCATCCTCATGTAATTTTGCAATTTTAATTGATCGAACCAAAATTTCGGAGTAATCCCGAAAAAACACTTTTTCGGGGGTTTCTTTCGTTCATTCGATATCTCTCGAACTAATCAACCGCTTTTGACCAGCTTGATGGCGATCGACGTGGTTTTTCAAGCTCAAAGGCGGATTAGTTTTTGAAGTTGACGATAAAGAAACCACTTTTTAAAAAATATTTTTTTTCTTAAGATTTCAAAATTTCTCAAAATTTCGGTCCGAATCGGTTCAAATTCAAGGAAATGTAATTTTGAGGGAAAATTTGGAAGCCGTTTAGTGATCCGATCGGTTTAAGGAAATGTAGGCATAGCAGTGACCCATTTAACTTTTCGACGAATTTTTGTTATTTCGGCTTGCGGAAATTGTCAGATTATATATTTTTCATTATCTTGATTATTTCCTTCAAAATAAAAAAAAATTAGCTAGCTCGAGAATGTCGAGATGACGTTTTTTTATAACTTTGTGCCCTCCCCTTTTTCCGTCACTCTCAAATTTCAGATTAGTGGAATATAACTTTTTAGGATGTAATTAACTCACCCTACCTTAATCTAGCGCCGGGAATTTCTGATGGTCAATTTTTTTTTACTAATCTGATCTGTCTCCTTCACGGGGCGGCCTTATATATGGGCCTCATATTTTGTGGAGGTACTTAACCGGGTACAAGGTAACCCCCTATATATTAATTGCCGCGCTTTAGTAAATCCCGAAATCCCCTCTTGGGCTCCCCTACCATAAGGAAGTTGGAAGGCAAATAAAAATTATAAACACTTTAAATTTCTTTAATTACTTAAACGATACAAAAATACTATTTAACCCTACGATTGGCAATGTTTTGATTAAAGTACAGTCAGCAGATGAAGGCTTGAATCATTACAAAAATAGATAAAATGCTTATTCATAAAGTAATAGTAAATAAAAAATAAAATTGTTATAATTAAAGAAATAAACTACAAGTAGATAATAATTACTAAACATAACGCTAGTGTAAGCAAACTTATGCTCAATTATTTAAAGGCTAATGAAAAAAACCACTATTTTTTTTTTAAATTACTCTTCGAAAAGCGAAATTTTTAGCAGACTTGATTATGTATTTGGGAATATCTTAATACAAAACATAATTAAAAGTCATTCATTTCCCATTGATTATTATAAAATACAGTAACACCTTATTTAATCACGTTACACAATTTTAACTTTAAAAACGAGCCTCTATGAGAGGACTTTAACATAAAATTAAAATAATGTATAACCGTCAAATCTATCAGTTCAATACACTCCAATAAATGACTACCAAATAATTAAACGTTCTAAGAACTCTTTACAATCCTAATATTCATAAAATTTACAACGAACACAAATTGATAAATTTTGACTTAAATGTAATTTGTACTGAACTTAACATTAAACAGCGTAGTTGACTTTTATCTTTTTTGGCCGCGCATTTTTGGTTGAGACCCTGAAAAAAAAATACGTCAATAATTTAAAAAAAAAACGATTCGTACTAACAACGAACGGTAAGAGAAAACAGCTTAAAGACCTTCATAAATGTTTAATACTAGTTATTTTACGCGAAATTTTTAAATTACCAGCTTTAGAGCGAGTCGTGCGAGCCGGCACAGTAATTTCGGCTGCCTTTCGCCTTTTAGCGGCTGCAGATGTTTCTGAAAAAGAAAATTATTGGATAACTATTTTGTATCTGAGGTAACAAACTAATATAAATAATAATTTGACTATAAATAAAACCCGGTCTACGTGTAAAAACCATGATTTTATAAATAAATACAAAATATTAAAGTAAATACCTCTACCATAGGCTTTTATGAAAAATTAGCAGTCTAGATTTTTTTTAAATTTGTTTCACTTGTTTATTCATTTATTTATATACGCCAAATTTTAACTAACTACAGTCAAACCCGTTTACGACGACATCGTTTAGAACAACATACCGGTTATATTGTCCAAAATAAAAGGTCCCGGCTGAATTCTATATAAGGTACTTAATAACAACGTCAAAAGCTGTTACGACTATCGGTTTTTACGAACAACAAATATTTACAGTCAAAATCTGTTATAACGACATCGAAGGGACTATACTCTGATTTTAAATTCCGTAGAATTCTGACATTTCATAAATGTTACTCCTAAAAAAGTTCCCCAGCGAAAAAGGGACAAATTTGACCCATTTGAGGGCAATCAAATAAAATGCTACGTATTTTTTATGTTTTACCTACAAAAAGGTAAATCTTAATATTTACTTAAGTGCATACAAGAATAACAAATATTTCAATATCAGGAACAATATATCAAATTAACTTAAATTACTTTATTTTATTCTTTAGCTGGCATCACTGCCTACCAATTCCAGGTTTAGCAAAACCTTTAAAAAAAATGTTTATCTTTACTTGTGCGCTTGTTATGAAAACTTTTAATGTTGAGCACCGCACTTAATAAAATGGATACGTTCACTAACAAATAAAATGTATGTATAAAATCAGATGTTCAGACTCGTATTCAAATTGAAAAATGTGCCCGGCCAAAAAGGTTTGCAATCTCTGACATGTCATAAAATGATAGCTGTCAGAATTCTACGGAATTAAAAATCAGAGTATAGTCCCTTCGATGTCGTTATTTTGACTGTATTACACATTATATAATGAAAAGTGATTATTATACAATTACCAGAAACCGTTTGTTATAGATTAATCTACTATTACTAGTTGTCACATGGGACATGGTGTAATGGTTGCAGCTCCTTACAAACATCTTGTAAAACAAAAAAAAGGCAATTAAAAAGAGTGGCGGAGAGTTTATTGCCAGTTCTTCTCTCCTGTTCTACGCCCTTGATTTGAGAACTGGCAGTAAATGTAAAATTAGAAGGATCAATATGTATTTCTTTACTGATAAGTCATAAGTGTACATTATGTTATAAGTCCCGCACATTGATATTGCGACTGGCGGCCATCTTAGTGACGTAGTCGAACTGTTAGTCTCAGTACCGTGCGCAAGGTCAGCCAGCGCTTACGCGTATATCTACCACGTGTTTTTTATTGCTTTTTATTTTCGTTATCCTGTTTTATTTTTGTTGTATAGTTTTGTTATCATACTAATCCTATTAACATGAGCAAGAAAGTAATTAACAGCCGTGCTCGTGAAACATTCAGGCAAATAAATGAATATTCTTATTATAAACTTTTTTGCTGTCTGTACTTTTCTGCGGTGGATGACGTCACGTAGCTGTTATTGTAACAAGGTTCCATCGCAATGTCAACGTGCGGGCCTTATACCTATGTGATTAAATGATTTTTTTACTTTTACTTTACTTTTTAGTACAAAAGTACCCACATCATACTGGGAGTCCGATACGACGTCGGCCTATATTGTTGATACTTAATAAATATGATATTTTTTATTTCTTTGTAATGTAATCTAATCTATATGGTCGTTATGCAAAATTACCTTTCTGAGCAGGAGTGACATCGGGAGATTTCCTCTTACGACTTGTAGAGGGCGCCATCGTTTCTTGAGCTGGCGCGACCTTTAATAAAATTGCATTTTAATATTTCTCGAAGTGTAATTTACTTTTAATTATAGTAACTTCTGACAAAATAATAATCTAACGCCACTACAACCCTTAATGGGTCTTCTTCGTCACAGAGTGCATGTTTCTTTGACCAATTTATTAGATCATTTAATATTCAACATTTGGAAAACTAGTAATATTTTTATAATTAATCCATTTAACATTAAACATGTAGAAAATTAAACCAAAAATAACACAAATTTAATTACCTTTTTTCCTTTGGGTTGAGCTATTTTGGTATCCTCTTTACTGGAGTTAGCCTGAACATTAGCTTTTGCTCGCGTCTTTACTTCAGTTTGCTTCTTAACCTCTTTGACAGCTATTTCAACAGCTTTTTTTCTTCCTCTTTTAGGCTTTTCAATATCTGATATATAGTTTTCAGTTAATATAATTTTACAGACAAGCTTTACTTGATCGAGGTTAGGTAAAACTTAATTATAACTTAAACTGAGATTCAGAATCGAGACTTAGTGCTAAGTTTTATTACTTTATTTTATTACTGTGATCGCAATGGATTTACCGCAGTCGGTTCTTTTTTGTTCTAATTTAATTTAGAAGAGCGGGTGCTAAAAAGTTATAAACTATTTACCTTCAGTTTCGACAGGCGTAGTGTCGGGCGATTTCCTCTTACGGCTTGTCGATGGCACAGTTTCTTTCGCTTTTGGGACCTCCTTTAAAATAATAAGAAGTAACGTTAACAGACATTCCTAGCTATTTAATAACACAATATAAACAATACTGGTATTATGCATCTGTTGCAACGATAACTTTAAAATATTGTATAAATCTCAATTAAGACTGGTCATGGAGAAAGAACTGATCAGGATTCTCAAAATGCGAATCATTCCTTATATTTTCTGGAGGGGTGATGCAAGTAAGAAAAATTTACCAAGAAATCGAACCCAGTACCTCCATGTGCTACCCGAATATTTACCTTCTTTCCTCTTTGAGTTTTCTTCTCAACTTTGGTAATAACAGGTTTCTCATGGCTTTAGCTCGCGTCTTTACTTCAATTTCATTCTTTATCAGGACTTCTGGATTCTTCTTTTCCACTTGTTTTCTTCTGCCTCTTTTTGGTTTTTCTATAACTATTTAATAAAGATATTATCATTTTAAATATTATGTGTGAAGTAGAATTAGATTTATCTACTTCTTAGACTTATAAGTTTAGGAAATGAAACTCAAAAAGATACCGGTTCGATCCAGTTTTAGGAGGTTTAGGTTGTCATAGAAGGTTAGTTAAAGGAAGGACGGGTTACGTTTTATTGTTTGGTTAACAGTTGTTCAACCATGACCTTGACTTAATCGTAAAACGGTGTCAAATATTTATATGAAATACGCCTAATACTCTGAAAATTGCCTTGCTGAAACCAATAATAATATTGATGCATTTGGTTGCCACGTTTCATAGCAATAACGAATTGGTGAATACACAGCATTAATACTTGATTCATATCTTTATATATATAATTATTATTATTCATATCTTTATATATATAATTATTCTGTGAGTGTGTATGTCACTGAACTTCTCTCAAACGACTGGACCGATTTTGATGAATTTTTTTGTGTGTGTTCAAGGGGATCTGGGAATGGTTTAGATTCACAAATCAGCCCGCCAGATGGCGCTGCAGTCGGTACTTTCATACTTTGCTTTACTAATTGCTTGAAATATCATGCAGGACAACGTCTGTCGGGTCCACTAGTATACATATATAATAGTTATAGGAAATTTTGAAATTACCAGAAACCATTAAGAATTTGCATACAGATTGACACAGACGTTTTGTACGCTAACGATTTAAAGTAGGACAAACTCATTGTAGAGCTAAAAGCATCCAGTTCAAACTATAAAATTCTTTTGTCTTTCTGTTTAACCAATCCAACAAGACGCGAAACAGTTTCATTTCGGTTTAATATTCACACCCTTCAGTTACACTTTACATAATAAAACAAAGTCGAAATAATAATAATTTCTAATATATAAAAAAAATTACGTATTAGACGTTATAACCAAAGTTGTAGATTTTCGTATTATCTTTGGATCAAATTTCGAATCATAAGAACGATTGAATTCCATACAATTAGTTTTATATGGACTATAAACAATTAAATAGAGCGAACCTGTCACAGACTATGTTAGAGGTATAGACAAACAACGAAATGGATTCACAACTCAATGGCGCAGTATGTATTTGCAATAAAAATCCTTTATATTTTTATCCGTTTTGAACGTTTACTAACCTTCATTTTCAGTAGGTTCAACTTCGACAGCTTTACCCTTACCCTTGCGAGTTGTCGTAGTGGTTGCAATAGTCCCTTTTGTAGCCTACGAAAAATTGAACATAATATGGAGATGCACGAAAGGAGTTATACGAACTAATATAATTCTTATTAGCTATGCGACGTGTTTCATGTGTCGAACTATAATGACGTAGCACAGCCCCGCGATTCTGTAACTCACTTTTCGAACTCACACAGCGGTTTTCGCATCGGCGGTCGCTCTCAAATCAGTCGTGAAGCAGTCATTTTATGATTTGGCATTCTGAAAAGGTGGGAGCTTGTAGTTTATTGTTTATCAGAATGCCAAATCATAAAATGACTGCTTCACGACTGATTTGAGAGCGACCGCCGATGCGAAAACCGCTGTGTGAGTTCGAAAAGTGAGTTACAGAATCGCAGGGCTGTTGTCAAAAGTCAAAATCGTTTATTCATATAGGTGACACAATATAAACTTATGAACGTCAAAAAGAAATACATATTGCTTCTAATATAACATTTACTGCCAGTTCTCAAATCAAGAGTGTAGAACGGAAGAGAAGAACTGACAATAAACTCTGCCCCACTCTTTTTAATCGCCAAGTTTTTGTTTTATACAATGTTTGTAAGGAGCTGCAACCATTACACCATGTTCCACATGACTCCTTAAGTAATTAATGATAATAAAATAAATTAAAAACAAATATTTGTCCTCCATCAGCAGTAGGCATGGTGAAATAGGAGCACGCACTTACATTCTCGTGGGAACAACACGCAACAACAACACAAAAGGTAATTTAAATCCTACGACAGTTCTCTTTCCAAAATTCTGTTTTAATTTGAACAAAAGAATAATGAAATCGAGCCTTGATTCACCTTGACTAATAGGTACCACCCATATTCATAAATAATCTAACTGTCTAATTGTCAATATTAACTGAAGTAATATTGTATCTCTTTGTATCAAATTGTTTTGTCGCTGTTATGAAAATGTGTCATGTCTTGCAACTCCATACAAGCATCTTGTATAACAAAATACTTGGTAGTCTTACGATTTTAGAACTGGTTCAAACTGGTTTGGTTGATTAAACTTTTTATGGTAATAAAGTATAAATGTTATCTATATGAATAATCACGGATATACCAAAAATGAAATCATTAATAAAAATATTAAACTAAATAATTACAATAATTAAAATTTTAAAGAATACCTTATTAGCTTCAGTTATTTCCTTGTTGAGAGCGGCCACTCTACTTCGAGTTTTCCTAGCTGAAGCGAGAGCTGTTTTCGCCGGAATTACAACGGAAACTCTTTTCGTTTTCGAAATTTTTGGTGTTAGTTTCGTTAAAACACGCGCTGCATCGTTAACAGTGGGTATTTCATTTTGTTCAGGACTTTGGACCGCTTTATCATTCTCTTCTTTTACCGGGATTTTGCCTCTACGCGTCATTCTCGGCATTGGTGTTTTTATGACAATCGAGACGCGTCTAGCATTGGATTTCCGTGGCGATGTTGCTTTAGAACGTGTCTTTCTTGGTACTGAAATTGCTGCCTCTTGTTCAGACGTTTTGACTGTTCGTCGTGTGGTTTTCGTTTCTCTTAATTTTTGGCCTTTCGATTCCGAAATTTCATTGTTTTGGACACTATCGGATTGCTCTTGCACCCGTTGACGCGTTTTTCTGACCGATTTGATAACTGGAGATTTTTTGTGAATCACCAGTGCTGTGGACGGTTTTTCTTCAGTTATTGTCTCTTTAATTGTAAAAGTGGTATTTTTCAAGGCGCTGCGATTTTGTCTTGTGGATCGTGTCGTCCTCCCGAGTGATACGGAACTATTATTAACGCTGATGTCAATGGTGTGGTAATCTGATTGTGATGTTCTGAAAGTAGATATGGAATATATTACAACAAACGGTAACAAATGAATTGTGATATAAAAAAAAAAATAACTAAAAATTAAAAAATAAATAATAGTTAAAAAAAAATAAAAAAACACGCTTTTAAAGCACATCAAGGGTTGCTCGATAGACGAAAAATATGGCACAGAGCGCCCCGCGCTTTTTCACAATAATACCAGTATTTTTTGTTCATTACCATTTTCAGCTTAAATTAGGAATTATTTTTCACTTTTTAGTTTGATGTGCTTTAAAAGCGTGTTTTTTAGTTTTTTTTAAACTATTATTTATTTTTTAGTTATTTTTTTCATTTTTTTTTCGGATTATTGCATTGTCATCGATCTTTGACAGGTGCGCAAAGTTTGAATTAAATTTGTCCGTTAAAAGTGGGTCAAAATCGAGTCCGAAGGAGTCGGTTACATACATACATACATACAGGTGAAGCTAATATAAAGCGTGTAAAATAGTACAAAAAGCTAAGTAAAATAAAAATCAACTCACCCGGCTGTATCAACAGGTGCTGGCTTAGTGATAGGAGAGATTTGGCATAACTCTGTGGAGTTTAGCGTCACATTGCCTTTAACTGGAGTCGATTTTAAAGGCTTAAGTGACCTTTTCTTTATAGGCAAAAAAGTCTTAAAGTGACCTTTTCTTTATAGGCAAACTGTTTTCGTTGTACACTTTGACTTCATTATTCTTCATCCAACCATCCACGTGTATTGAAGTCGAATCGTACAAAGATTTTGCTTGGCGTGTTTTTTGTTTTAGATTCATTTTCTGAGCACTCGCTGCTTTATATGTCCGTAATGGAGGCTTGTTCATTAGTAGATCAAATGTTGTGTCCATTTCTGAAATTTCATTGAACATTTCTTGGATTCCGCTTACGTTGCTGCTATATCGTTCTTTTTCGAGTCGATATAGACGCCTCACCCCGCGCACATCAGTTAAATCATTTTTGGGCGATTTTATACGTAAAGCGTCCTTTACTCCAGATACTCTCAAATTGTTCCGAGGACTCCTCCTAAATAACCCTTTAACTCCACTTACGTCCTCTAGCGTATTCTTAGGCGATTTTTCTTTTTCTCTAAATAATCTTTTGACTCCTTTCACATCTTCTAGAGTATTTTTAGGTGTATTTTGCTTTCTCAACGATTTGAATAAGGTCTTTACTCCCGAAACAAAGCGTAGGTCATTTTGAGGAGATTTAGCAAATAGTTCTTTTACTCTGACATTACTTAAACTATTTTTAGGGGCCTTGGCAAATACATTTTTGTCACTTTTATCTGACTCTGCATCAGACTCGGTGAGGCTTTGGGATAATTTTCTCTTTAAATGTGAAACGTCGAAAGAAGTGGTAGCCGATTTATCGGCCCTTTTCGACGTTCTCGGAGAATCTTCGTCTTCCAATAGGAATAGATCACTATCGTTTAACCTAGATTTGCTACGGGACCTCTTGGAAACTTTAGTACTCGCAACAGGTTTATTATTTTCATCATTTTGGGGTGTAATAACTTCAGGTGACTCTGCATGTGGCGGTGTGTCATTCGCATTCTCATATTTCAAACTTATATTTATCGGCACTTTATACGGTGTGCTGGAAGGTAACGTTACAGCGAAAGATCTGGTTTTCCTGTGACTTCGAGGGGTCCCAAAAGGCGTGGAATCAATCGTATTATATTCCGTAGCATTAGAATCGCGAGTGACCAAATCCACTATTGAATAGCTTTCGGCAGGTGGACTTAGTGTTTTTGTTAGATTTGTTTGTCCTGATGAGTTATTTTGTGTTTTAAGAGTTTCTTCGAGAGCTTTCTGGACAATTAGAGAACCACGCGAAGACCTGGACTTAGGAGAGGTAGCGATTGAAGTTTCGGTAGTTTCAGTTACGGTCATAGGACTACCCAAAGTCTTTTCGATGATACGACTGCTTCTGGACTGTATAGATCTTCTTGAAGATGGCGAGACGTATTGACTTGACATACTATCAAAAGTCTGATTTGTCGTATCCACCGTGACCACTGAGGATCTTAATCGATCGGACATATCATGTTCTAGATTGCTAAGATCGAATTTAATTGATTCTGTTTTCCGTGCACTGCTTGGATCCTTAAGTGTAGATTTCATAGCACTTTTTCGTGCAGATTGACAAGATAAACTTCTTCGCGTTGAATGATCGTCGCTAGTGCTTAGCACAGAAGTCTGCAATTTTTAAATAATTGTAATGTATATTTCCTTACAATATGTTTCAATTATCAAGATTAGAATAATAACTCTGTTATTGACCTTCACTTAATGAATTTGGTAAAAGTAGATAGTAGTAAAAGAATGAAATTATATACTTAAATACTATAAGAAACTCTCGCTTTCTTATAATTAAAAAAAAATAACTATAGAATTATGATTCAATGTGTTCAAATTATTGAAAGCCTGGTTACTTATCGTAAATATCGGTTAAATTTTTGTAAGTATCTTTCCTACATGTTTATTTTCTACAAAATTGTCACGAAAAATTTGTGATAGTTGTCAAACAGCACTGGACAGATTGAATGAAACTTTCATTTTATAGGTTAAACATGAGAATAGTTAGAAACTTTAACTATGCAATTAAAACTTACATTTCGTTTTCTCGCCAAGCTTTCTCTTAGTGCCCGAGAGCTTCTTTTCAGTGATTTTGGCATTGGAGTTGGTTTTATCACAACAGTAGATACCGCGTTCGGAGACTTTGACTTCGTGTGACGTGTCATCAGCAATAAAGCAGCTTGCTTCGTGTGGTCTATGGATGAGGACAAATAATCACATATTGAACGAAATATTTTTAAGAGCATTTTAGTAATTTAAAGGGTATTGATTTTTTTATTAAAACAGCACTGTTACATTAACACAATAACAAACAATAAAACAACATGTATTTAAACATACTAAAACACTGTATTATTTTTATGAAAATACGAGTTTTTTAATAGAAGTCAATATAATTATTTATAAGTAATTTTGCTTTATAAATTCCCAGCAAATGAGTATTTAAAGTAAGAAATGTGAACGAATAATGACGCCCAAGCGCAGACTTAGTCATCACTTTCGTTTTGTTTCGTAAAAATAGTCTTTATCGAAAACAGTTAGATTTGCAACTAAAGGTGTATGCATAATGCAATATTTCATAATTACAACATATGTTTTTTTTATAAATGCTGTATTTATTACTGTCATGTCATACACATTTAACATACTGTTTATGTTTATAATAAAGCAATCTAATTAACATAATATTAATAGTATCTTATTAATTTCAATTGTAAATTTCTCAGCTTTGTTAAGCGCCTTTATTAAATTTATTTTTACTTGTAATATCTACCTATAATCGTCGTAAAGGAAATACACCCAGACGAATTGAATTTAAAATTAGTAAAAAGACAATGTTAAGGTAATATATTCAAGTTCGTATAAATTCTGTGATAACAACGTCAATACATTTCCCATTTTTTCTGTTTGTGTAATTGTAAAAAATATCATGAACAATTTAATGAGGTCAGTTTTTGTTGATGTCTAGATAATGCATAATTTGCAATTTACAGTTATGGTTCTAACTTATATAGCTAATTTCAACAGTTTAATTAATTCTGTTGATTTGTTTTAATGTTAAATGGAGTGGTTGAGAAACGTATTGCATGAAATCTTAATATGTATAAATTACGTGTCACGTTGTTTGTCAGCTATGGACTCCTAAACTACTGAACTGATTTGAATCAAATTTGTACACCGTGTGCGGTTTGATCTAACTTAAAAGATATGATAGCTTACATCTCAATATATATCCGCAATATTATTTTATTGCAAAATATTTGTTTATTGTTTGATAGTCACAATTCTAACAGATGGCGCTGCGATGAAAGTACTTACCAACGTTTCACATAAGCTACAATTTAATGGCATAACCACCAAAAAAGCATGGTGATCCCCATGACTGGTGTTCTCCTACCGTTTTCCTTGAATAGGTTACTACTATGTAATATAACTAAAACTTTAGCCACAGCAACGCTTGGCCGATCTGCTAGTATATATATAATATTTGACGAGGGGCCTAACATCAGTTATGGTTATTGAGAAAAATATATGCCCTTTTTTAATACAAACACAATGAATGTTAAAATGACGTTTCATCTGCTTAGCATTACATTAACTAGAATGTTAGAAAGAGTTACGTTAGCTTAGTGTTAAAGCGTGCAGTTCACAACGCTGAAGTCGCCAAAGGACACAGTGGATTTTTCTTTGTAAATGTACTTACAAAGAAAATTCTTTATGAATAAACCGGCATGTTTAAAGCACAAAAGATGAAGACATAATAATAGTGAATAACGCAGACACAGAAATCTCTCTGCCTCATGCCTCATTACGAGCCTCTACTAAGTCAAGTCAAAATAACTTTATTCATAAAGGTAAACAAGTACACTTATGAACGTCAGAAAAGAAGTTAAATTGCTTCTAAATTTACATTTACTACCAGTTCGCAAGTCAAGGGCGTAGAGCGGGCAAGAAGAACTGGCAAGAAACTTGCCGCCACTCTTTTTAATCGCTAAGCTTCGAGTAATACAAATTGTTTGAACTGGAGCAAATCAATCCCAAAGATTAGGATCATTTAAATATTCGTCAAATTTATAAAAAGCTTCATTGATTAATTTACGTTTGGCTTTGAATTTATTTAGTGAAATCTCTAATTTCGCTTGGGAGTTTGTTGTAAAAACGAATACAATTTCCATATAAGGAGTGGTTTATCTTCTGGAACCCGGTTGGTCGTACACTTAAATTTGTAGATATTTATAGTTCTGTTTCGAGTACTACTGGTGAAATTCACCATTTGTTTTAAAATCGTCTATATTTTTTTGTACATCCAACAAGGCTTCAAGAATATATTGATCTGATAGTATCGATATAGATCGATTATGGAAAAAATCGATTAAAATCGCTATTTTAATGATAATCGATTCTTTTTAATCTATGAAAACGAGATTAGGTTAATTTCAATAGTTTTGATTATTCTAAAACTTTAATTTGTGTTAATAATTTCTATTGTTTATTTTTAATTAATAAAACCATGAGAAATAATAGGAAAAAATCGATTAATAAAAACATCGATATTTTTTTTAGGAAAAATCGATTATTTATTTAGTTTTTTTAAGTTATTCGGTTCATAAAAAGTCGATTTTTTATACAGAATGTCACATCCCTACCAGATAGTGTCATAATATTTAATTCCTTAAACCTATTCCGTACCGACTCCCTTGGGGAACACAACAAATACCCCGAACAGACCGCTTCTGCACAAATATGGATAGATTAAGAAGTGTACTTACCAATCAACGTAGGTGCCTGTATTTTAACGGGCCTGTGGGTCTTTCGTAACACCGTTAAGCGAAGCGACGTATCGCGCCAAGTCCGCGGCGTAATAGACGACTTGTTCATGGCGAACTGTTGAGCCCGCGGTGTTAACGTTCTTGCTCGTGGTGGTAGCACGCGCTTCTCTGGGAACGGTGTTCTATTTGACGATTTCGGCGTACTTGTCAGTCGAGACCTACTTAGTACAGAAGTTGAGGTACTTTGTACAGAAGTTGAGGTACTTTGTACAGAAGTTGAGGTACTTTGTAACGGTGTGCGTGCAGAACGTGGCAACAAAGATTTCGAATGATTCAACGGTGTTCTTTCTGCAAGTATATTTGAACGCGACAATTCACGGTTTCCTGTCGGTGTAATTGCTAGCTGTCTTTTTGAAAGTATTGGTATAATTGAAGATTTTCCCGATTCCCTTGTTAGCGCCTTTCGTGATTTAACTGAGTTGGTCACGGGTCCCAAAGTACTGGTGCGCGATTTCTGTGTAGGCGTAAAGGCCCGTACTGATTTTGCTTGTGTTCTTGATTGTAGTGGGGTAACATCCACTTTTGAACTTGATTGTGTTTGTCTCGGTGTAGTCCGTATTGGAGTTTTTGTTTGTTTCGATGTAACTTCAGGTTCTGATGGGGCATCTCTTGGTGTAAGGGACTTCCGTGTACTAGATTTGGATTCTTTTGTGTCGATCGGTGTAACTGCCGACCTTGACCGGACTTCACGTGTTTCTTTCGGTGTGAGACTCGCCCGAGTTGTAGATTTTGTTTCTATTTGTGTCCCTTCTAGGATTTTGGAACGTGACTGTGTTTGTCTCGGTGTTAAAGTCACCTTTGTGTTTTCTCCTTCACTTTCTAACGGTATACACGCCAAGGATTTTGAACGCAATTGTGTGTCTCTCTGTGTCATTGGTCGTGTTGCAGATTTAGTTCGAGATTGTAACTCTGACGGTGTGAGGTTGTTCCGTGTCCGTGTCGGTGTGATAGGCGCTCGCGAGCTTTTACGCGACTCAATCCATTCTGAAGCCTTAGTATTTGTTTGGAGACTTTTTTGGCTCGGCCGCGCTGATTTCCTAAAATAATTTTATTACTAAATTCTTCAATTATAACTGTACGGGAGTAATAGCTTCATGTAAGAGGTATATATAAAGTTAATAAGGGAGCGTTCAAGTATTACGTCACGCAATTTTCGGAGAGTATTGACACAGCCCCCCCTCACATTATGACCCCCCCTGGTATTATGACCAAGGCACGCTAGACTTATTAAGATCAGGTAAAGAGACAATCTTTAATAAATCTTTGAGAGACCTAATAGAGAATAGTTATTTGTAATATTGACATTGCAATAAAAATTCGTTATCATGGACTGAATTGTCTCGGGTATACGAATATGAAATGATGCGAGAACAGATCTACACAACATAAATAGAAACCTAAACAGAATAATTATAATAGTACCTCGTAATTGTTTCTTGAGTGTTTTCATTTTCCGTGTTTTCAATTAGACTAGAATCAGTCAATTCGGGAGTGCAACTTGGTTCTCCTAAAAAAATTTGCTTATTAACTTAAACTGCTAAAGGATTTTACCAATAAAATTACTTTTAATGAATATATCAGTGAAATAAAGTTACAAAACTGCTTTCTATGCCAAAATGGTTTTAAGCATTATTAGAAACTGGATATAACTGGATAGTTTTATTAAATGTGCGGTAACTTAATTAAACTTAAAACAATATAATATTTACTTTTTGTATTACATCAACTGTCATTATTATTTAATATAATTTACCCTTGGTATAGAAATCAAGGAGGGCAAAATCAAGACTACAGCGCATAGGCCTGCACAAAAAAACTTTCAAATTCTGACTAGTAATCAACATTTCCTTTGATATTTTTTAAGAATCTACTTGGTTTCACATCAATTATTTATAAAAAAAAATTCATTATAATTGAATTGTTAATTGTGGACTCCGATCCACAATTCTGGACTCTAAAACCGGCCCCGCTTCTGATGAATACTCACCCTGCATTACATTTCTTCTCTGCGGTTGAACTATTGCCACTTGCTTCATACTTGAAGCTGCAAGTAATTAATTTATATGAAAATGTTTTGGCCACTGTTTTAAAAATATTTATGAACAAAATATTAGAAGTGCAAGCTCATATCTAATGTATATCTTAACAAAGGAAGTAATTAGGAATCATTTAATCAGTTACACTCACCAGGTAATGAAGCTCTCTGATTATGAGCATGCGTATCATGGAGTACTGGATCACTGGACCGACTTCTGTGACCCTTACCTCTGCTTCGAGTCTTGTTTATTACTACCAATGCTGCAGCAAATGGGAAGCAAAGAAATCTTTTAGATACTATCTAAAAATCTATCTATTTAAAATTCTTAATAAGTATTAAGAATTTTAAAATAAATAGAGTAGAAAATTAATTAATATACACAACAACAATAACACCTTAAATAAATTGAAATTGTACTATTTAGAAAACTATACTAAAGTAAACTGTATGATCCTTAAATAGTTATGACTAATGAGGTCTACAGTACCAAGTTCCACTATTAAACAATGATTTCAAATAACTCTTTTGTTCAGCAATTTATTAAACCATACAAATTTTAAACTAATATAAAATTAATTGAATTGTTTTATAGCAGTATAGACTTATTTCTTCAAATATATGCTTACGTGGTTGTGGTTTAGAGAGGGGTCTGTGCTGTGGTTGTGAATACTCCCAGCGTAGAGCACGTCCACCCATAGAAATGATATCACCGTGCCTGAGTACAGCTACACTTACTGGCACATCATTCAGCAAAGTGACACCTTCAGATACACTTTGTACCACAGTCTGTAAGCACATTTTCAGTGTCGTAACAAAGTCTGATTTAATTTTTCTTTAAAAAATTTTATTTGCTAGGCTTTAAGGCTAGGCTACCATAATATTGTTGTTTGTCACTACATGCTGTATATCAACCCCCATGTACCAAACCCATACAATGTGGAGACCACATCTTTTGAAAAATCACAGAGCTAGGTGAAGTGATATTACAAGCAAACATGATTGATGACATGTACAATATCGCCTTTCGAGATATTGCATTTTAAATCTTGTTGTTTCCTTTTCTGTTTATTGTCTTGTCTATTTCCTTATAATTGAGAATGTTCTAATGTTTTACTAAATCTATTATTATGCATAGATATGCAAAATATTTCATCACTTACCTGATTAGCCTGTACCATAACAGTGGCATGGTGGGCACTGACTGCTGGTAGCATTAGGCGGATGTCACAAGCCAAATCCGAGCCAAGGGTGGCCAAACCCTCTGAAAGGGCATACTGCTTGGCATCGCGACCAGCGCGGTCCAGTACTATAAGTCTACCACCTGACATCTATTGAACAAGTTAATATTGCTTTAGTAATCTAGATATAACTTAAATAAAAAACTTGCAAAACACATATTCCGTCGCATTTTATATTAAAAGCATATGAGATTTAGAGTCAAGCCCCATTACGACTCCCATATGTCAAAAATTTATTGGAATTGTCACGACTCATCCTGATAGTGAATTATAATTCACTCATCAAAATAAACAATATAAATTGTTTTTGATGTCTTAAAGCCATTAGTTATTTAAAGTTTTGATTAGATTAACATAGGTATGCATTTTAATCTTTAATCAGTTCGTTTTAAGTTGTATATATGTTTTAAAACCTTAAACATAAAATAGACTATTGATATCAATTATCCAAATTTTTCTTATACTTTTCCCGCCAAAGAATATATGATTACAACCTTGACTGAACCTATGGGCTATGACGCCGGTACAAAATAACCCAACACACTTGCGTTTATTAACAGTAAAACAACAGAACTGCTAATAACTTAAGTACTCTTTACAAAACTAAATCTTACCTAAATAATAACGAAGTTAAATTAGTTTACTTATTCAATAAATTATAGCAACAAATCACAATTCATTAACACTACAAAAAATAAAAACAGTACACTACTGTGAAGTGAATGTAAATTAAAAATGGCCGTTGTTGGCTTTGGTTTTTCTTTGCTTTGTGATTCGCTGATTTTTTTTTTGAGTTTATGGCCTGGTATAGACTAAAAATTTAGGCCAAAGTTCGTTCTCAAATCCCTTAGATACTAGATATAGTCCATGTACAGATGTCAAGAATCTAAAATGAAAACAGTAATTGTATCATATAGCGACAGACTTGCTCTAATTTTTAAAACATCGAACATCGATGTTGGGCTTTCGATTATGACATCGATGTTTTTCTAACATCGATCATTGCTAGTCCAAACCCCAATATTAAGCGATTTGGCATAAATTTTATCATGTAAGTCAGCCACAGCCGTCTTGTTGTATATGTAGTTATAGTGCTTTTCGTGAAAGAAGTCCCGCGGTGATTTTTGGAACTAAATTTGACAGGTCGGCAATGTTGTCTTTCGTCGATGTTATTAAGTTCGTTTGTTGTGGTAGATTTTTGTGAATTTTTAACTAGCTTAGTGCATTTTAAAGATTGATTACAATGCCAAAAGTTGTAAAAATTTCGGCTCGAGAAATGATATTAAAGGTGAAAGAGTTCTATGAAGCGGAACATAAGAATCAAGGTGTTTTAATACCACTAAACAATGTTCGGAAGAGAGTTGCCGCCATAACAGGTACCTTTTAGAGTTGCCATTTAATAATTTTTTGCTGTATTGATGGGACTTTTATGATATAAATTCGTTTTTGCGACAAAATTGAACAAATACATAACGTGGTGAAACTAGGTAACTGAAATTAAAACATATATTACATTTAACATAAGCATTATAAACTTAGTTATTATTATTTTTAATTGTTCATAATTTAATTGCAGGTGTGTCATAGAAAACTGTAACAAGAATTACAAACGAAGGTATAACAGCGGCGTGTACTTCGAAAAAAATTGTAACCCAACAATTATGCAATAAAACTCTGAATAAAAAATTGTATTGCTTTTCTTTACCCTATTTTCTCATCTTATCCCTGTAAGTAGGTAGAACACCGCTAATATAAGTAAATAAAATATACTTTTTACATAACAGAAATATTGTTCATCGAAGTATGCAGAAAATAATATTATTTGATAAATTACATCTGCTAAATGTACATAAAATAGGTAAATTTTTTACTCATAAATGGCAACATTACGTCATGCGATTGCAGCGCCGCGTCTGGGGGACTTCTTTCATGAAAAGGACTATACCTGAATTACCATTCTAACTTAAAACTAAACATAGACAAATAATCGCATGAAAATACAGGCTCCTATTTGGCTCTAAACGTAATATGACTTATTTGTATAAGTGAATGAGACACGTCACTTGGTGGTTTTGCGGTAGTTCAAGTTACTTAGTATGTAATTATTAGTTATGTAAATTAATTTTTGTCATTAATTATCCGTAACTTTTAATGTTCCCGTGAAAGCCGATTCAACTTTCTTATACAACATAATCACTAACATTAATTACACCATTGATATATTCTATAATATAGTCTTCATATTTATCGTCATTTTGCTTAGTTTGATTTTTATGAGGTTTTACATTTTATTTATTTAGTTTTATTGGTGCGTTATATGCTGTTCGGTCTACATAATACATATTATGTATACCTACCTCTGTATATTTATAAAATTTAAAACCTAAATTAAAGTCGCGCCCTCTTTTTTTCAGCCCCTAAACCAAAATGACAATACATGTAGATTTAAATACTTGCTAATTTATTTAATTATATTTGTATTTATTTTTGTTAAGAGATTGTACTTTGTCTATAAAAGTATAACTATAAACTAAAGTGCACTTAGTGCAGCCAACGTGACGTGATTACACTAATAGTCTCAACTTCTATTTAATAATTGAAAAGACTCAAAATATATAGGATGGACGCGGCTAATACACACAACCAAAACTATTGGTTTGTAGTTCGTGATGACCATAGAAATGTTATATTTTCGAGTAATAATTTTACCATCCAAAATCCACAAAGTGTGTATTCACCTATCTACCAATTTCTGAACTGAAATATTTAGACAAAAAATTTAATTTTTGTTTGTTTGTTGCAGGCCAAGAGGCGAGGTTTATAGTGGATGCAGGTGTACATAGTGAAAATAGACAATATGTACAAGTACAAGACAGTATACCTCCAGTTCTTCAGGAAGAAACTGCTAAAGAAATTAAAGAAACAGTTTCCGTAAGAGATGATATCTTTTGGGACAGAAATAAAGTTCAGTTACTTTTAACCCTCTGTCTTCAAAATGGATACAACCCCTCAACTATAGAGCAGATTGAGTGGACAGAGATAGCTGCCTTATTGGGAACTACTCCAGAAGAATGTGATAAGAAGTTCAGAGGCCTCCGACGAATCTATCTTAGATTAATGAAAAAGAAAAATTTAGGCAAAGATATTAAATGGAAATATTTTAATATTTGTGAAGAGTTTTTTAAAGATTGTAAACTGTCATTTACTGTATTAGAACCATGGGAAGATTCTAAAATTAGACAATTGTTAAGTATCTACATTGAAAATATCAATAAATTTAGAGACCCAAATTACTTACATAAAGATGTCTGGAAAGAAATTGCTTCTCGGTTAGAAACAACAGAATATAATTGTTATCATAAATTCAAAAGTTTAAAAAGAACTTATTTAAACTGGCTTCAAAGAAGTAGGGAAACAGGAAAGTTAATTAAATGGACTTATCATCAGTATTTTGAAAGGATATATTACAATTATAATCCAGATTTGGGGCCATGGGATAGAAATAAAATAAGGTTACTTATTAATGCATATGCAGAAATTGCACACATGTTCAAGAATCCTAAATATCAAAAGAAAGAGTTGTGGAGAGAAATTTCAAGAAAAGTGGGTGAAAGTCCAAGCAGTTGTGACAGAAAGTTTAGAAACTTAAAACAAACATATTTAAGGCTCAAAATGAGGGTTGATACTGGTAGATCAGTTACAAAATGGAAGTACTATAAAGAATTCTCAACAATTTTTGACAATGAAGCATATTGTGTTACCAACGATGGTCAGCAAATTGTATACAGGGTAGGTGAACAGGATTATGTAAAAGAACTTCTCAACTTTTATCTCGATAATAAGGAAAAGTTTTGGGATCCTCTGGTAAAAAAAAAGCCTCTATGGAGAACTATAGCATCAAAAATAGGGTTAACTGCTGGAGAATGTGATAAAAAATTTAGAAATCTAAAACAAACTTATTTACGAATGGCTGAAAGAAAGCAACTCAGTGGAAAAAGTAGCACATGGCCATACTATTCATACTTCGAAAAAATTTATGATCAACCAAAATTAATTAAGAAAGAATGCAAACATGCATGTATGGATAATGTTACACTAAAAGAAATTACCAGTATTGTGAAAGATGTTCATGAAATAAAAGGGAAAGATAAATTTGAGCGACTAGTAAAGGTTATAGAGGATTCAAATAATATTCAGAGAGAAAGGAACCGAATCTTACAAGCACTACTGGATAGGAAATAAGCTTTAATTGTTGTAGTGTATCAAAAAAACTATAATTATTACTTTTTAACTATATTTATTGTTTTATTTTAGATACAATCACAGTAAATTTTCTTGGTTGTATGTAGACATTTCAATTGTTATATACTTTTTAAAAATTATAACTTTGTATTTTAAATATTACTTAATTTAATCAATGTATAATTCTAGGAAAAAATGATGGGTTGTTTAGCGACTAAAATCTAGAACTATCTTCTCTATCTCTTTATATTTATTTAATAGATATAATGAGTAGTAACCGCGTCTAAAAAATAACCAAAACGAAAGATTAATAGAACCTACTAATAATTTTAAGATATTTATAAACAACAGACGTAGCCACAATAATGTTAAAATGGCATTTTTAGGAAGGTGTATGTAACTCGATTAGTAGGCATTGTAAAGGAACTGGCAGTGGATAACGCCGTGTAAATTTTAGTTGGCGTGTTTGAATTATCAATTCCTGTAATGGGGTATGGGGTTTTTATAGGCAATTATCAGTGCCTTACACGTCGTCGATTTTCGAATACAATAAAAGAGTTTTTCTAACGCTTTTTTTTCCTCCGTACTAGCACTTAGCAGTTGTGCACAGACAGCAGCGTTGCCAGACGTCCCGGTTTTGGCGGGACGTCCCGATTTTTAAATCAAAATGAAATGTCCCGCGCGGGACAGGCTTAGTCCCGCTTTTCGGGAATAACTAGATAGCAATAACTCTTTCAACAGTATCCAAAAAAAATACCAGGATTATCTTCAAACTTAATATTAAGTATCCTACCATCAAACTGCTTTCCAAAACGCCTTCTTTTTGAACAATTTAATGAAATCAGTACTCATCAAGATTAATCTGCAGCTATCATGTGAAGAGTTCTTCGTCTTTTTTAAAGAGAAAAATGAAACTTTTACAGAAGTTATATCTTCATAGAAATATTATGAATAAGTAATTCTTATAAATAATTACTGTCTTATTGTAAGTTGCAATTTGAAACACTCACTCTTCAGAGTATTGTTTGAAACGCTATATTTTTCTAATAAATAAAACTTTTTTTATTTAGATTTTTTTGTTTTTTCAGATGAAAAAATAAGAACTATTTAACGATAGGTTTAATCTGATTTAAATACATTTTCTGTAACTATTTTAGCTGTCTATTGTCACGCAAACGTGATTTGAACTCAAATAAAAACATAAATATTTTAAAACTTCTGATTATTTAATTTTTTTTACTATGTCCCGCTTTCGACAAATGAATCCCGCTTTTTTCACTTTAAAAGTGCCAAAATCCCGACTTGACTAAAAAGAAATCTGGCAACGCTGACAGACCAGTCACGCTTAAAATAACATCTCAATCTTGTAATCTTAACCACTAGCGCTAGGCTATCACTGCTGTATTATTCACATTAAGTCAACCATATACACTATTATTACAAACAGGAAAGATTTTGAGTGCTTAAGGCCTGGGCCTCAGATTTGTTTTATGTTTCTAATAAACAAGTAGGTGAACAGCCTTGTGTGATGAATTAAAATAGCCTACAGAATACTTTTAAAAAATAATGATGTAACTTAAGATTTGAAGAAATTATCACTTTACGTTGCGATATATCGCATACTTCACTGAACCATCATCAATAGAAGTAGGTGTAGTACTGATCTATTACATATTTAAAGGTGCGTACGGATAGCGCGTTCCTGTGTTACAAGTAGTTGGGAAATACTGTCCACGCGTACAGCTCCTGTACGGACCGCCGCGAACCTGTACGCGAGGTCAATCGATCCAGAGCGCTCCGCGACTCGCGAGTCCCACTGGCCACTTCCCAGTCATTCGCCATGACTCCGACAAAGTTAGCGGTTGCGTGCACCACCACTGCTGCGGCGTTAGTCATTATTCAACACATTTTAAATAAAAATGTAGAAACAAACGGAAACCTAGATGGTGGATGAAACTAGTGTGCTATCCCACAAGACCCGGTGAAATTCATAAAGTTGAATCAGTCTGATAATATTTTCATTATTAAAACTTGAATAACACGCGTGTTTATTCATTTTGCCGTCCAAATGTAGCGTAGCCGGCCCCGTGCGTCCTCTTTGACGCGCGACAAAAAACCGACTGACGATCGCCGGACGCCGATCGGCTCGCGCGGTACGCGTACCTATGAACGTACGTATGAACTAGGCGTTCCGAATACGCGAACCAGGGTACGCGCAATCCGTACGCACCTTGATAAAACAAAATATAGTCATCGAAGTCGGGATTTAACGCTTCTTGTATTATTTTTATGAACTACTGACACTAGTAGGTTTTTTTAAATAAAAAAAATAGATTATAAGGCAAATTGACATTTTATTTTAGAACATTCAAATTAAAAACATATCTGCTTAGAAAGGTTTATTCTATTACATTCTTATGTAATATGTATATGTACAAACAAATAATAGATTATCAGTTTTCTTTTCGTATTGAAAAATCATAAGGTTTTAACTACATGTCATCCGGCAGTACACTGATTACACTTAAAATAACTTACAATACATTTGCATGAATTTAAAACTTATCAATGCTATAACACAGGAATGAAAAAAAATTATGTTAAAAAACTTCGTACAATAGTACTGTTTTGTAAGACATCATCCTTAGAGTGAAATGGCTATAAGTATAGAACCTACACAAATACTACAAGGATAGGTGTCTTAAGTGACTGGTGACCCAATTATATATGTAGAGATCTTATAGGTGTTGACAATGGTATATACTCATAACACCAACAAAAATTTGGTTTAGTGTCAAACTGCAAGCCCCTTTCAATTTGAAAGTCATCTAGCTGCATTGCACCATCTGTCTGAGATTAATTCCTAGCACTATTATAATATATATAGTATTTAATAATGTCAAACTGCAGTTGGGCCCCAGTCTACATAACTCTTGCATGCATTCACACAACACTCCCTCACATCATACAAGTTAACCTAGATTATCATACTATGTTAAAACTATGATGACAAAGCCACACTGTGAACTACAAACAAATTGCCTAATATTATCCATTAAATGAATTCAGTCTTAAAACAGCATGGCAATTCACTGACAAAGCTGCAATTACATATGAAACTATTGCAGGCTTCAAGTGGATGAGGTATAACTGTTTTAGTAGTTGGATTTGGTAGAAAATAATTTACTAGAAATGACATTATCAAAATGCCATAATACAATTTGATTTTACTAGAAATCAGTAAGAAGTCAATAATACTTAATTGTACAAATACTCGCGTCTAAAGAAAAAGTACCACGGCATTCGCCTAAGGGTGTGTGGTACTCACTGTTTGTGGTATACAGTGTGGCAAAGATAGGTAGCGACATTAAGTTTACTTCTTAGCGTTTTTCTTAGGTGACGCAGCTTTGCCTTTGGCATTGTTTGCCATTTTAGATTTCTTACTCTTTGGGCCTTCTTGACCGTCTTCATCATCTTCATCCTATAGAAATAGATTTTTTTTTAAATATGAAAGAATTTAAAAAGCACCAAAATGTGGTGTATTAAACTGTTAAGTATATAATTATAGGCTATAATTTATAGCGTCTCTCATAGTATAACAAATATATAAATGCCTCATTCAGATAATAATAAAGGCAAAAAGTTATTCAAAACAAACAAGAAGTAATGAAATTATCAAAATATAAAATATATTAAAAAAAAGCTTTCAGAAGGTAAAGGGAATAAGAATGAGTACAGAAAACCAACAGCCAATTTTGATATTACTTAAACATAAAATTTTAAAGGTCCAGTTTTGTCAAACCTGACAGCAAAGGTGTATTATGCTCATAAGAAATAATAGGACCAATTTAGCTTTTGACTAATACATAAGTTAATTCTTTAATCTGTGCCATCATGAGTTTGAAGAAATGGACCACTGGCCCTTTTCCCTCTGTTTGCATTTTCATATAATTTAATATTAGTTGAAGGTTTTCAGTACCTCATTCGTCTTGCGCTTGCCAGCTGCTTTCCTTTTATTTTCATCTTCCTGTAAATTCAGTATGCTTCTCAGTTATATGAAGTAGATAGAATACAAAACTTTTAATACTTCAAACATAAATAGGTAAATTACACACTACAATAAAATGTTAGATGAATACACACCTTGAATTGAGAGTCATCACCTTCTTCCTCATCCAGCATCTCTTCTTCCATTTCTTCCATATCTTCAAACTCTTCAACCAAAGCACCAAGTAAGTGTTGACCAATTAAATGCACTGGACCTGATCCCTTTTAACCCAAAAATTATGTTAATACAGTAACACTAGTATGTATATGCATGTGTAATGCTCTAAGTAGAGAAAATCAGACAAATGCCTCATGTGATCATGCTTGGACTGTACACCATCAAAACGATGTTGTACTATCCATCAATAGAACCAATGGTTGTTTTATCATCATTTAATAGTAGAAAGTAAGAAAAGCATAAATATGAATTTATATCTAAATGCTCCAAATTACCTAAAATACTAAGTGCACTGGTCTATGTATTATACTACATATTACCTGTGTGAGTGTAAATGTAACTGGTGCATCTGGGAACTCAATATCCAATCGAGCTTGTCTTGTTTCCCCAACCTTCAAGATGGCCACTGGGATTTTAATTGAGTCTTGTAGACACATTGTTTCAACCTGAAATAAACATGAATATTTTAGTCTTTAAATTAAGACCAATACATGGACTAGAGGTTATGTTGAACACGCAAGACAATTTACCTGTACAACATTAAGTTCATCTGGCTTAGCATCAGGACCAAGTAAAGCTGTGCGAATAAGGAGTTTATTGCTTCGAGGGTAATCTGCTTTCGCTTCAGGGTCCCACGTCTCAGACTGATGTGACGATGACAGGGTCACGCCTGAAAAAGCGCGGTACGCATGTCAAAATTTACCATAACCTCAACACTAGTAACGTTATTTGCTAAAAAAGGAAATTTCGCAAATAACAGTAACGACGCTAAGAATAAGACGAGCACTATGGACGCCATTCTAGATTTCAAAATACGCGCCTAACCCTAGAATGTACCACGTTTACTCTTAGTATGACAGTTATGTTTTAAAACATGCCCTGAAATTACCTTCATCAACCAATAGATAATCAATTATTACAAAGATTTACAATGTATGCGAATATACTACCTAACAATTACTTGCAAGAACTAAAAATGGCGGCAACATTTTAATCCTTCATTAGACACAGTAAATGATTAAAAAGGTTGATTCGGCTTACCGAATCAAATAAAGGAAATGCATGATATAGATTTACGGAAAAGTATGTTTAAAAATTACCCAAGGAAATGAGAAAATGGCGAAGTACCGGGTGTCAAAGTTGACGCTAACATGTTTAAGTGAATTAAAAGCAAAGTACGCTCTTCAGAAATAAAATAATATTAACATAGGGACAAACATATAATAAAAAATGCAACTTACCATAAAAATATTCGTCAGACATGATGATTTAGATAATTTATTACGATTTTCCGACACGTTCACGTGCGATGCCGGCACATAGAGATCTAAGACAAGTGTTGCCGTTATCAAAAACTAAGACTCAAATGTCAATTTTGACATTACAGAAATTATTTACTTTAGTAGATGAGTATCCATAAATTTACTAAACCAACAAGAACTAAAGCATCGAAACCACGCTGAAATAGCAAACCAAGGAATATGTTAATAGTTTCTTTTTTAATGCGTAAAAATAAAACAATCTTTCGTATTGGTATGTTATTTAAAGCTGGCGGCTTCAACACATTTACACTTTGTGCTTGTGTAGTGTCTGTGAATAAGGCGAGGCGTGATGTCAAACTGAAATACAATCACAAATACATCATGAAAAGACTGTCCGTCTCTCTCGCGCTCGGTCAAGCTTATGAGTATAAAAGTGACAGTTATTGTTTTGCTTTTGCTACTGTTTATGTTGATCTTTACTGTACATGTTGATATTTTTTCAAACATTACCAGGACTATCTCGTGAAATGGTGCACAATGTTTTGGAGTATACTCCTTAAGAAACGATTTGAGTTATAAGGCTCGGTACGGAAATTTTATGAGCAGTAAAATCAAGTGTAACACGAAAAGTTGAGGCGTTATGTAGAAAGAGACAAACATATATATCTGTAGGATTGAATGTGTAAAAGAATGAGATGGAATACATTACATTACACAGCGTATCTCATTCTAAAACACATGGATGCGGTTAATTGGTAAGCGTTTACATTTATGAATAATATACATTTTAAATACGAACAGCTAGATCTTTTATTATGTGTTTTTGTCCATAGTTTTGGATGGTAAAAAGGACATATTTATTAATAACATAAATAAGTCCTTATTTCATGATTATACCAGTTAAATGACATAAGAGTCTAAGAGTATTATGTTATTATTATTATTATTTATTTATATTGTTTTGTAACATACTTTATGTAATACGCTTTATTGAAGTAATATAAATAATCCGAATAATTACAGATATAATATGTTTGTTTCTCTTATCATTTTAGCAGATGCGTTCATTTACCCTTTTTTTCTATTCGATATATATCATAATTATCGTTCATAAGGAGTAAACTCCAATCGTGCGTCGTAGCTAACACACACACACTTTTTTTAATTATTTTAAGCATCTTAATAAAAATAGTTAAAAGAAAAAAATTTATTTTTAATTTGACATCAGATGCGACTGGGGTTTCTAAGAGGAGTATTGAAAGAATTGTTAGTGAAGTAAAAGTGAAGTGTGTTGAGCTAGATGTAGCTTATGTCAAAAAATGAAAATTATTTACACAAACTACTCTTTTACGTTCTTGGTTGGGCTTAGAACTTTTGGATCCACCCTCGTATGCACATAATATTTGTATGATTTACAACCCACCCAACCTTACTAAAACCAGAGTAGACTAAAATATATAGCTTGGCAAAAAAGGCATATTTTTAAACATTCTGTATAGTGAAATTGCATTAGTGTGAGTACTGTGAACGCGCCAGCTTTCGATAACCGACCTATAGGTTGGCAGTAGTCATCTTCCTGGCTAGTACTGTCTTTTTTCGACATAATTTATCGATAAAAATAAAATAACAAGCACTAAATATATTTTTTTAGAATTAATGTCTATTGTGTTTATTGATATAAAAACGTTCAATTCACCTTAAAAAAAGAAGCTATATCACCAAATGTTTGATTTCCATAGTTATAATAGGAGTATGGAAATCAAACAAATAGTTTGCACTTCATTACTATGTCTTAAAAAATTGTATAGGCCAACAGAGTACTAATATTGTTTCTTTATTATGAATATTTCCATATAAAATCCTAGGTAACTCATTTCTTGAATTAATTTATTTGATTTCGTGTTTTGCACTGCTGATATTATTCTGAGATTTAGTAGGCGACTGTTTTCCAGTAATATCCTGATTTAGTTTCCTAAGGGAAATTAAATATTTTATTACTTTATGAAGTGAAATTCTGCATGGTTCAGTTTTTATTTGACCTCTATCAACTAACTAGCCAGTTAGTCAAGCCGAATACACCAAAAAAGAAAAATTGGCAATGTGATGTTATATAATAACTTCTATTTAATACTTTCATTATTATCAATATAAAATGATATAACTACAGCAAAATTATAAAAAGTGTGTGCGTGTAACCTTTACGCGCGATTGAAGTAAAACTTCTTTGACGTTGACGGCATATAATGTGCGTTTTCCAATTACAGAGCATTATGCGACTCAGTGCTGCACAATGCCGCATAATGCTGAAGCTTAATTGGAACGTGAATTAGTTTTCAAATGCATCAGCAGAGTGCGCTAAGTCAGTGTTGTAAAAAAAATGTTATGAATTGAGTTAGCAACCTCATTAATGTATAAATAAATAAGGTAAACAATAATAATTGGTTGAAAACTTTTTACGCTTATTTTAATCATCAAATTATTTCATTAACATTTTTTTAATTGAAATAATAGACAAACCTTTAAAGAATATAAGGTTTTAACAAGCTAAATTATTTACTTTATATTTTACTTTATAACAGTAAAATATTTAGTTTCATGTAAGAAGTTTACATCATTTACGTTTTGAGTAATATTTTTTAATGATTTCTAAAAAAATATATACTTTTTCAAAACCATTGCAATTTTTTCTAAAGTATAATCCTGTAAAATAAATTTGTTTACAGATCCCAATTTTAAAATAAAATTGTATTCATATTTTAAATGTGGAATATAAAAAAAGTAACTATTTATACCTTCATCCATACTAATATTTTTTTTTTTTAGCAGTTTGAAATAACTTTAATTATTTTTAAAATCTACGACGAAACGAAAGCCTTACAAATTTTTGAACAATAAATAATATTTACTAACGAAAATTTCGATAAATGCCAACTTAAAAAAAAATACTGGTCAATTTTCTGTCACTGTGTTGGTATTGTTTGCGAGAAGCACGCGAGAGCATTCGTTTTGAGAGTGCTCAATTGTGCGAAGCGTTGCTGTAGTTGGAACACTCAACGTTGAGCATTATGCCGCATAATGCGCTCTAGTGCTGTAATTGGAAAACGCACAATATCACTGAAATTATTAAATATTAACTTAAATGATAAATATCATATTATAATTTAATTATATTTATTATTCATGTGCTTAACAAAGATTATTCAAATACGAAGGCTAGATCAGCACATGTCAATATAACCTTGTTATTGAATATTATAGAATATCGCAATCATCAGAAAATTTATTATTAATTTACTTATTGTAAAAGTAATAAATCAATAAGTATATTTAGCGATTTTCAAAATACTTTGCAATTTAAAACATTTTTTTTTATACTGTTGCATTTTTTTTTATTTACTTTGCTATTCTCTTATACAACTTTGTTATTTTTATATAAAATAGACCAGATTTTTAGGATAATTAATTTGATATTAATTTACTTCTTCCAAAATGGTAAAATACGAAATTGCGAAAAAAAAACTGGCCGTATATATAGCAAAAGAAAAGCAAGCTAGGATGGGAACCTTCCCTCTTTAGTGGAATTTCAATTCGGTCACATGTTATAGTATGGATTTTCATTTTAAATATAAATATACTAATAATAACATAATTACAAGGATCAGTATCAAATAAAACGAGTGAATGCTATCCTAAATAAACACTACCAAGAAACTGATTTAAATCAGTTCAAATAATGCACCACTAGATGGCGCTGACGGACTTATAGAACGCGCTATCGTTGTTATTTTTAAATAGCGGAAACTACACAGACTATAATATACGTTACTTCCGTCAGAAAAATAAATTTGAAAACCGGATGGTACATAAACGTGACGCCATATTGCCGTAACGGACTTCCGTTGCATTGTTGCCAGTTACCTCCTAGTCGCGCCTAAAGAAGTTTTACTTCAAAAGTAAAAAATCATTTATTAATTTAGGTAACACAATGTACACTTATGAACGTCAAAAAGAAATGTACATTAAATGCTTCTAATTTAACATTTACTGCCAGTTCTCAAATCGAGGACGTAGAACGGAAGAGAAGAATTGGCAATAAACTCTCCGCCACTCTTATTTTTATAACCCCCTAAGATCTTTGAAAAGAAAACTTTTTTAAATTGTTTTTAATTTCATATAAAATTTACATTAAACAGAAAGTATATGGTATTTACAATAATTTTAGATGATTTATTTATTGCAATAACAACAACAATTAAACTTATATATTTATAATAACTTAACTTAAATACTTATAATAACATAAACTTACCGATAAAATATTATTTTTACCTACTATATTTTTTCGTTTCCTTTTTCAACTACTTTTACTTTTTTCAACGTTTAGGCAAAAACTTTGTATATTTTATTTTTGCTTACAATAACAAGGTTAATGAATGACATCTTTTCGATTAATAATGTGGTCAAATAAACGTGTCACTTTAACTGACTTAGGAAATATTTGATCGACACTAAATTTAATGGTATTAAGCAACACGAGTTAAGTTTGGTGGCGGTTGTCGTAGGGATGTTCAAATTTATGTTAAATGAAACTATTTGTTTGAAGCGAGGTGAACTTTAATCGTTTAATACTTCAGCTTATTACTAACATAAAATAAAGGGTGGGGTTGCGACGCTGGATTAGCAAAAAACTAACTTTGTTTATTTAAGGGTTTCTAAATCTAAGTGACAAGTCCAATATAAGTGTAGTGGACCTATTGGACATTATCGGAAACGAGAATTTTATATTACAATTTATGTGTGGGTAAAACTAAAGGGCTCATTTTGGCTTCAAGTATGCGATGATTGCTAACATGGTTTACGCTTCTAATTATTAACTAAAATATATATATGTAACTTAACTAATGTTAGGTTACATAACTCACGCAACGAACTAATTTTTATGTTACGTTACTCATTTTCTTTTTTCCGCTAAGTATTCAAATAGTCTCTGGCGCGGGCCTTTTGGAACAGACAATAGTGTTAATAACTGTGGCGATGGAATAGACAATTCAAAGTCTAGAATCGCCATTTTTTATTTTTTTCAATGAATAACAGGAATAACAGATGTTGCTATTGGTTAGAAAAATAAACAAATCTGAGTATTGATTGGCTAGTATAATAAAGCAGAAATAAAAAATTTCTTACTCTCTTATTATTGGTGTAAAAAGTATTATTGTTATGACTTATGTCAAACTTAGATAGCAAACCAAACTGCAAAGCAAAATTAATTTGTCAAAATATTATAGTTACTCTATTAATCTATCCGCCGTCTAAAAAATTTGTCTTAGTATTTTTTTCTGTTTTTCTCCTTGTGCGCTATTTATTTTCTTTATGAAGCTCTAAATTAGTTCTAAAGTGTTATTTCGTCTAGATGTGGGATTCGTAAAAATATCAAGCGCTTGACCTGTGACATGTAAGTAAAAATTGTTGTACGTTTAGTCTTGACCTTCCTGAATAAAGTAGTTTCAACTATAATGTTGTTGTGTAACAATGCCAAACTACCCTAAGTTTTATTGTTTGCCAAGATTCTCATACATATCAAAGTTTTTATAAATTAGAATGCTAATACTTCGAGGCGATATGTCATTATGAAATAGTTGCGACATTATCGTGATTTTTTTAATTCTCAAGTCTTGACTGCCTTAATGGTGCCCTGCTCTACATTCGTACATTGTGTTGCAGCCGTAAAATTACCAAGTTGCTATCGTTGGTGACCAACCCTGAAGTCAAAACGATATTGTTCTTATAAGAATCATATAAGATGTCTACCTCATAATTACAAAAAAAACGTCGTTGACTTCTTTTCCACTTGATGGTAAAATGAGTGAGGAGCAAGATGATGGCAGCAAAAAGAGTGCATCACTTTCTTCTGCTGAGGCAAGCTCTGTGGAAGCAGAGTGTGGAGCCCATGTCAATGCTTCAACAAATATATCACAGACTAATCAGGTAAGATTTTGTTAATAACCTACATCATTAGGAATTTGTACTTTATTTTTAACCTATTGTTTTCACTATAGTTGATATAATTTAAGGGGTGGATCTCACTTAACTCTAATAGGAAGTTATAATAATCACCACATTAGTCTTTATAATGGTTTTTATCTTCATTACCATTGAAAAATTCTATGTACTTATACTTAAATTGTCTTTTTTATGTCAATGCTTTTATTATAGACAAATTCTGTTACTATGTTGCAACATAATTTTTATGTATATATATTTATTTCCTAATATTGATAATTAATAATATTCTAGATGACAGGAGCAGCACCAGATAATGCAAAATGGCAGTGTGAGATGTGTACTTATGAGAATTTCCCACTCTCACGGAAGGTATTGTTGGAACTTTTTATACTATCAAATACAATTTACCCAGATTTCTTAATATTCTTGTTACCTAACTCTACTCATTGCTATATTAGTAACAAAGTTTTATGTGTTGTTACTATAACTAGACATTATTGTTTAGTCTGTTAAGTGTTTTATTTAATGTTTTTAATATGCAGGTCCTCAATTTGATTTAGCTTTTTTGGCTGAAAAGGTATAAAGAATGTGATTTCATTGAAGTCCAATAATATCTTAAGTAGAGTATTTCTATAATCAATCATAATAATTTTAAGAATATTTCACCAGCACCAGGCTCCATAAAATAAGTAATTTTTGTAATGTTAATTAATTGTATGTATTTTTTTTGATAAATTAATTTTGTGTCAAATCTCAAATAAGATTATGATATGTTAACATGGTCGGAAATAATCAAGTTTCTTGGTTTGTGCTTCTCAAATATGGGTGTCATGGTCAACTTACCTACTTATTCCTAAAAAAAAATCAGTCTAATTGCACTCTAACTAACTGTTTTGTCTTTTTCTGAAGTAAAATACTCTTAGCGCTGGTGATGGAAAATGATAGATGAGTGCTTTAATTAAAACAGAGCAATTCCAATTAATTTTTGAAAGATAACCCCCTTATAAAAATACATAAGAGCATCACATATTATGTGATTCTTATGAATATAACTATGACTGGGCATACTAGGTCAAATTAAATATTGATTAAGAAACAAGAAAAGGAATATGCAGTCTATAATGAAATGATTTCTGTAAAAAATAATTACATTTTAAGACCATAATATTAATGAATTGATTCTTTTTTATTTTAGTGTACTATGTGCCGAGCACAAAAACCCTCTCTCGGAGAAGATATTTTCAAACTCCAGGATGGTGCCAGTGCTCTACCTATACAAGATACTTGTGGTTAGTTAATAATATAGTACAAAACATGTATCATAATTGCTCAATATCATTTATTACAGTTAAGAAAGAAATAATTTAAAGTTTCTCTATTAACAAGTTTACAATGCAGGTATTGGCTTTCTTTGTCTAGATTCTAGAGTATCTTTGAAATGAAATTTATGTGAGTCATTCCTATTATAGTATGGAAAACACAAAAATGCTATGATTTTGATATATGTGTATAATTATTATTGTGTAATCCAGGTGCTGAATCAGTAGCTGAAAGATTGAAACCGCTGCGAATATCATCTCCTCAGGGACAAGCAAGTGCCTCCTCTATGGCTAAGTGGTCTTGTGGTGTAAGTAAATATTTTAAAAGAGAGCTACACCTTAGTAGCCTGATAAACAATAAGTAAATATAGTAGTACTGTAAAAAATTTTACTTACATTTTTACTACTATTTCTCTAACAAAATAATGTTAATATGAAATTCAGTATGATGTGAGCGGGCAAAGTCCAACAAGTATCAGTGTGACCAAAGGTGACCAAGGTGACTTTATTAATTATTATTGCAACGTATTTACGAGGAGCGCAATCTTAATTATTTTAATCTTATTTATTGGTGGAAACCCTCTAGAAGCGTATAGTGATAATAACGCGAAGAAAATTTGTCTTGACATTTTAAGTTGATAAAATTCTTTGATCAATATTAACTTGATGCAAAATCTTAACCAGCTTTCAAAACTTAAGACAGTCATGTGATGCTAATTTGACTTTTCTAGATATTTAAACACACAGCATTTGCGTAAATCACTTAAAATGATAACAGAACATTGAGTTCGTAACCAAGTATTGTATTGTATTTTTATAAATTTCCTGTAGCAAAATAATTTACAGATGATTTCACTTTTAACTTTATGAACATTCCAGACTTGTACCTTCGAGAATTGGCCTCGTTCGCAGAAATGTGCGATGTGCGGTGCGACCGCTCCGCCTCGAACACATAGCGACTTACATGCACCCAGACCTACAGGTGAGAACACAATATATATGTAGCTTCTAAAATCGAATTAGATACTTATATAATTATTTAGAAAATTAATAATATTTAAATTTATTTAATGCTAAAATAATAATTGCTACTAAATATCGGCTACTCAGTTCTGGAACTTAATTCCCAATTGACGACTGATTGATGAAGTATAGTGTTACACTGAATGAACGACTCTACGGGTTGGCATGGCAATGATGAATGTAATTTGGAGTTGGTCCGGATCTCCTTAATGTTTAAAGATAAATATCATCTAATACTAAACAAATAGTATTAAAAAATTAAATTTAGTCGTTTTACAGTATTGTTAATTTACTACTCTTAATTTAAAAGCCACTATCCAATTTTATATTGTCGGCTTAAGGATATTGTAAGACTTTAAAAGGTCTTATTTCTAAAAATTAACAAAAATATGGTTTAAGTTTTAGCAGTTTATTTGGCTGCAGAGGCGACCACTGACGATCAGTTTTTAATTTAGCTTATAATCTGTATTCAGAATATAATTAATGTAATTAAATATAAATAAACTGCTTATTGTTTTTGATACAATGCAAGTAAATGCTGGAACCTGCTACTTCAAATTTGCGATATCCAAGCCATTACGTCTTCAAAATAAAATGTAAAAGTTATCTTTTGGAATGTCAAACGGCTGGGTTGGGAATTTAGTTGCATTGTCTCATATTTTATGTTCTATGTTTGTTTCTTTGTCATTTTTTTTTTAAATAAAATTTTGTGTTTTATTAAATGGTTGTTTGGCACAGTGTATTTGACTGTCACTTTAAGATAGTATGGGACCACACTGAAAATCAGTATTGCTGGTCAGAAACTTTGAGTTGGGCCCATTTTTGGTTAATGTGATAGTAATTGTATTTATTATTTATATGTGAGCTTTAAGAAAAAAAAGTATTTTCTTTCTTATCTATATGTTATTAAATATTTTTATTATATTCCAGGTATAAATGATATATGTAATAGTCAAAATTCTTCAATACATGAGGTGGAGAATAACGGTCGTCGCTCGAAACGTAGAAATAACACGGACTGGATGTGGTTGCAGGCTTGTTTAGGTAAATGCATTTTTACTCATAACGTTTGCGGTCATATTAAATGTGGGATAAAGTATGTTACCATGGTTATCATTATTTTTGGATATATTAATTTTAATCGAAGTCTACAAACTAGATATTATAATAATACTAGCTGCCCCCGCAAACTTCGTTTCGCATTAATATGTTTTTTTTGACTTAGCCCACTTTTGAGTAGCTATATACCAATGGAACATTTGTTCGGTTTTCTGGAATGAAAACTTTTTAGGGTTTTCTGTGAATTTTTCTCTATATAAACCTCATGGGTCATAAGATTTTAATTAACAAATAAAAAATAGGGGTTGATCGTAGAGGGGTGAAAATTAAGGGTTGTGTGTATTTTTGTATTATGTATCATAAAAAAATAAAAACAATAAAATTTTTCTAAAAAATTAAAATTTGGGGGTGGACAACCCTTATCACATAGGGGTATGAAAAATTGATAGTAGCCGATTCTCAGACCTACTGAATATGCATATAACATTTGATAAAAATCGGTCAAGCCGTTTCGGAGGAGTATGGTAACTAACATTGTGACACGAGAATTTTGTATAATAATATTTATTTATCTTTTCATTCGTAGTTAACAATAGAATAAAAAGTTGTTAAATAATATTTTTAAAGGTACATCCTCTGTCTTCTTTGGCGATGAGTAGGGATGTCTACATATACAAATTTTATGACGTGGAATAAGTGATACCTGTATCTTATATTCCATAATAAACACATTTTTTTTTAATTTGTATAATCAATGCTTAATTTTAAATCGGCATTGTGGTGGTTTTCAGGTGTGGTAGAAGGTGACGCACGTTGTGTGGATGCGTACTTAGCGGCAGGTGGATCACCAGCTCGAGCCTTGACTGCACCGGAAGTTGCACTACTCAATAGAGCTTCCGCTTTCGACCCGGGACATACGCTGGTTCACTTGGCTATTAGGTATCAAAATTCTATTTAAAATATATCTAAATTGTAAACCACCATACGTTTATACATACAATTACTTGGATATTTTAAGAGACCTAGAAGGATTTTTTTTCTAAAGCTAGTACAACATAATACTACATAAAATAAAATGAAAAATAAATAAATAAATAGTCTGCTTACATAAAATAAATTGAAAAATAAATAAATAAATAGTCTGCTTACATAAAATGAAAAATAAATAAATAAATAGTCTGCTTACATAAAATAAAATGAAAAATAAATTAATAAATAGTCTGCTTACATAAAATAAAATGAAAAATAAATAAATAAATAGTCTGCTTACATAAAATAAATTGAAAAATAAATAAATAAATAGTCTGCTTACATAAAATGAAAAATAAATAGTCTGCTTATATAAAATAAAATGAAAAATAAATAAATAAATAGTCTGCTTACATAAAATAAAATGAAAAATAAATAAATAAATAGTCTGCTTACATAAAATAAAATGAAAAATAAATTAATAAATAGTCTGCTTACATAAAATAAAATGAAAAATAAATAAATAAATAGTCTGCTTACATAAAATAAATTGAAATATAAATAAATAAATAGTCTGCTTACATAAAATGAAAAATAAATAGTCTGCTTACATAAAATAAAATGAAAAATAAATAAATAAATAGTCTGCTTACATAAAATAAAATGAAAAATAAATAAATAGTCTGCTTACATAAAATAAAATGAAAAATAAATAAATAAATAGTCTGCTTACATAAAATAAAATGAAAAATAAATAAATAAATAGTCTGCTTACATAAAATAAAATGAAAAATAAATAAATAAATAGTCTGCTTACACAAATCACAAATGTTTACAATTTGATTTTAAATGTAACTAATATAAAAAATACTAATATAACGATAAGAACTTAATCCTATTCAATAGTTGTTCATGATTTTTAACAGTTTTCTCTGTCTTTCATCAGTTATCTCTGTCTCCAAACCAAAATAAATGAAAAATCGTTAAAGGAAGACACTATATGGTACGACACGGCGGAAATATTGTGACCGATACTTAATGAAAACTGCTAAAGTTCTACCAACTTCCTACCTTAGTGCTGCCATTTATCTTCGAAATTATATTTTTTGATCCCACCCGGGATTTGAACCCGACACCTTATTATGGGCAGACAGCGGACATTGCGAGTCAATGTAGCGCTAGAGGAGTCTGATACAGTATCTTGGCATAATAATTCATATTAAACAATGTTTGCTTACAGATTTCAAAGGCAAGAGATATTATCAACACTACTGTCTAGAATATCGGGTGGTGGACCTGGCTTGAAAAGATCACCTTCATATGTTGGTAAGAAAAAAAAATAGATATATATACGTAGTCGGTCCCAAAAGTTCTGTCATAAATGGAAATAATGATAAAAACAAAAGTACTGATCAGTTTGTAATGAGTGATATATCAATTTTAGTACATTAATTAAGGAATAAAAAAAGCATAAAAATATTCGAAATAACCTCCTCATTTTTAATACAGGCCCTTAAGCGTCGCGGCCAGTCGTCTATCGAGCACGCACCATATTGTGTCGATTTCAGTACTGGTTTTTTTAAAGATACTTCAGATTCTCCAAATTTTCATGAGGTTTATCACAGACCTTCCTCTCTAGCCCTGTCATAATTTCTGTCTAAAGGATTAAGTCCGACTGAGTAAGGCCAATCCTCATGTCTAATTAAGACGATGTTTTGACGCTCAAACCAGGCTTTAGTGGTCTTGCTTTGTATGCAGACGCAGAGTCCTGTGGAACAGAAGTGATTCCCGCAAATAGGTGTGAATGTCTTTGACAAGGCGATACAAAACCGTCTCTTGGTACACTGTAGCACTGGTTTTGACCCCCTTTTCGAAAAAATTAACCTCATTAGCCGTATAGGACACTCCCAACCAAACCATTACTGAATGAGATTCCATGTTGCACCCTTGTAACTTTATTTTCAGCTTCTTCAGAACTCCTAGCGTACACTGTATAATTCGTATTGTATTCCTTCAATATGAAAATTTTTCGTCCGTAAAGAGGATATCACGGTGTCGGTTTTTCGCGTACCGCTTAAACAACACCCGCGATCTCTTAAGCCTTATTGCTTTTAGACGACATTAGTAAGTGCCCACTCTTTTTTTGTATGCTCGTAGACCAAGATCTTCATTTAAAACCTTTTTTACTGTTTTCCTACTGACACCCATCTGCAAATCCATCAACTTCTGTTTTCGGACAGGATTTCTTACTATCCGCGCCTTGATAGCTTTGATTACTGCTGATGTTCTTGGGAGCGTGGAGCCAGTTCTTTTCTTGTCCTCAACACTGAGACTTCAAGGTACCTATCAATAGTACCGTACACAAACCTAAGCGTTATATTCAAATTTTTGAGCAACTTGAAAATGGTACTGGGAGTGTCCACAGCGGTGCAACGCAATAACAACTATTCGGTTTACTTTCAATGTCCACTCCATCAAGAAAAATTACGGAAAGTTATTGTTTTTGTTTTAAAAACAATAATCAAACATTCCAAAATAGAATGCAATAATTTTTTTATAAAATCCTGCTCGAAATGTAGAAATAATGTGCTAGTGACAGAACTTTGGGACCAACTACGTAGAAACAGTAACACCTATTTCTGAATTCCTTACAATCACTTCATGTTCCGTTTCCGACTAAAATCTCCTGCCTTTTGCTTTATCCTTTATTGTATTATAATGTATTGTCTTAGATGATGAAAATCTATAATAATATTAAGATGTTTTTTTTTTTTTTTTAAAGACAATTCACACCAATTGACCTAGTCCCATGCTAAGCTGGTGAAGCTTGTGTTATGGGTACTAGGCAACGGATATACATACATATTATAGATAGATAGACATATAAATACATATTTAAACACCCAAGACCTAAGCACAACACCAAATGCTCATCTCATCGATGTTCGTCTCAGCCGGGGATCGAACCCGGGACCCATGGATTCGCAGTCAGGGGTTCTAACCACTAGACCAATGAGCCGATATATGAGATGTAATATGTTTATGTACATATTTTGTTTTTAACTAGCTTATCCCTTTATTTCCTTTTGATGTCTTTGTTTATTTTCTCGCGTGTAGTTTCCCAACCTTTTACTTGAAACTGGCATAAAGTTAAAACTTTTGCCATAATATATAAAAAAAAACACCTATTTCTGTGTAGAATACTAACTGCAAGTTTATATACATAAAATCACATTGACCTACTTCCAACAATTATGTTACCAGTCTGACCTGTTTGTTTGAATTTGTTGTTTTAGGCTTTGCTATGCTTGCTAAATTTCGTAAATCTATTAAATGTATAACTAGATGATTTTAATTTTCATCAAAATCGGTTGAGTAGTACTTGAGACATCCACTTACTTTTTGATGAGACATGTATAATATAGCTTGCTAATAAATGTATTGGAAGTAACTTTTAAATTTTTTTTTAGCTCCCGATCTAGCATCCGCGATAAGGCGCCATATAGCAAGTTGTATTCGGCATAAGAAAGGAAATTTCCCGTGTCGATATATTAATGAAATATGCACTTTTTCCTTACCAGCAGGTGAGTAGTAGCAGTTAGATTTATAGCATAATTCTGCGATTTGTCCAAGGCGTTTGATTGTGTTGATCATGAGACTCTGCTTTGCAAACTTGACCACTATGGTATAAAAAATGTAGCTCTTAACTTAATAACCTCTTACCTAAGTTGTCGAACTCATGTTGATATAAATGGAACTAAATCTTCGGGATCACATATTAAAATGGGAGTCCCTCAAGGATCAATATTAGGACCATTTTTATTTCTTATATATATTAACGATTTGCCTTCTTATTCAAAGCCATTATGTGATATTGTATTGTTTGCTGATGACACGTCCTTGATTTTTAAAGTAAATAGATATAAGACAAATTTTGACGATGTGAACAATGCACTTTCTAAAATAGTGTGCTGGTTTTCTGCAAATAATTTACAGTTAAATGCCACAAAAAACAAAATGTATAAGATTTACTTTACCTAATGTTAAAACTACAACTATAGAGCTTAAACTGAACAATGAAAAACTAAATTTAGTTGATTCTACGGTATTTCTGGGCATTACAATAGATCAAAAACTTCAATGGAGTCAGCAAACTAAACTTCTGACAAGCTAGTCTGCGGCATACGCTATTAGGAAAATTAGGCAACTCACAGACGAGGAAACTGCAGAATAGTATATTTTAGTTACTTTCACAGCGTTATTCGTATGGAATTCTTTTATGGGGCAAAGCAGCAGATAACAATTATTTTTTCTTGCAAAACGTGTATTAGGTCAATTTATTGCTTGAAACCAGGCACTTCACTTAGAAATTTGTTCAAGGAAATCGATATTTTGACGGTACCTTCCCAATATATTTACAACTTTCGTTTTTGTGCGTAGTAATATTAGTTCTCTTTTAAAGAACAGCGACATCACTAGGAATACAAGAAATAAGGGTAAACTTTTCCAGCCGTCTTACAGGTTGCAGAAAATAAATACTTCATTTATGGGCCTAAGTATACGCTGCTATAACAAGATTCCTAGTGAAATATTGGAATGCCTTTAAACAGATTCAAAACACACATCAAAAAAACCTTAATGTGTAAAGGTTACTACACAGTCAATGACTACTGGAAGATAAAAACGTTGCAATAGTTCTAATTATATTCTTATAATTTGAAGTGTTATGAATATGTGTGGTGAATGTGGTAAATCACAGAACAGATTTTTTATTTTTTTTTACTTATGTAATTTTAATGACGTTTGTTTATGACATTTTCCTTTGAATAATTGTATGTAAAGGAGGGCAAACTTGCTGAGTTTCTTGCCCGTTCTTCTCCAGAACAAGGCCTCCTGGTAGTTTTGCGAACGGATGGCGTAGTCTTGCTCTTTTCGTGAATTTTGTAAACGTTGTTGACATTCATAAGCATGCTCTAAGAAGATCAAAATTGAATAAACGTATTTTGATTTGATTTGATTTGATTTGAAATAGAAAATAATATTTTTTATACAATTAAGATTATAAATGATGTCATCTGCCATATATTCGTTTCTCAAAAAAAAGGGAGCGTGTACTTATGTACGCGCGTAAGAAGTTATACTTCTTTGGCATTATTAAAAGTAGTTTTTGATTGCATGCAAATAATTAATTACAATTAAATAATCAAAGACTGGAAAAGGAGTCATTATAGTCAGTAAAGTTCAGTTTACATTTGAAAAATTAAATATTTATTATTATTCTCTAACATTAAGTGTAACATAAATTCTATTATTATTCGAATGTTGTTTTTAAATTATGTCCAATGCCGTAGCATCTTCCGTGGGCAACTTCATTCTGTTAATTTTGTGTCACGGTGCGCGCGCAGCGTAAAATTTCACTCTCATCAATTTTTCATAACGCGCCTAAAGAAGTATAACTTCAAAAAGGTTCAAAAGTGCAGTTTTTTTCGGCAAACAGATTGGCTAATATCAAAAAGATCTTTTGCATAAGAAAACAATGTATTTGTTATATCTTAATAGTTGGTGACTTCTGTCTTTTGTGCTTGACAAAATTGGTAATGTTTTTTCGAATTAAATAGTGTGAGAAACTGCGGGGAGCGGAGGTCGGGCGAGGGTGTGGTGTTGCAACGTCTCGTTCGTTCGCCGCACGTCACTGCTTCCGTAGCTGCACGCTTTCACACAACTATTATTTATTATTTTATGATTGAAAAACTTGAGAAATATTATATTAATTAATTGTATAAATGCTATTACAACTGTTATAGTGATTACAAGTATTTCGTTGATTTATTTCAGAAATAGACGAATTGCCCGCTGCGATACAAGAGCAGCTATTCGCTGAATTGTTAGATAAAGATGCACAGCAGACATTGGAAACGGATACACCGCTTATCAATTGGAGCTGTGAGCTAACAGTTAATTTAGGTTAGTTTTACTCATTGAATATGTATATTAAGTTAAATATAATTTTTAAAAAAATATAGAAATAATCAAATCTATTTAATATAATAGTCATTAATTTAGGCAGTTCAGAATTTTTGAATTCTAACTCTTGGTTCTTGATAAGACTTTTAAATAGTATTGTCTTTGATTGACATAACCTTTACACATTTAAAGAAAAAAAAAACTTTTTAACCGGATTAAAGTTATGTATTATTATAAATTTACAATTATTTAACATAATTTTAAATTTATCCGACGTTTCGCGTGCTTTACAGCGTGCGTGGTCACGGTGACTGAAGACAAAAGGTGTTGGATGTCAAAAAGTATCACAGCTGTAAAGAAAGTTGCAGTATCTGTATTTTGAAAATTATGTTAAATAATTGTAAATTTATAATAATACATAACTTTAATCAGGTTAAAAAGTTTTTTCTTTAAAGGACATAAATTTTTGTTGTCAATACGATTAAATAATATGATCTAATTAAATAACAAAAAGCGCTTTTTTTGGATAATTGATATAATTTTTGTGTATAGGGTCGCGCTTGTACGCTCTGTGGAACCGTTCGGCGGGTGATTGTCTCCCCGACGCGTTGTGTCAAGCCGCGTATGGCGTGTTTGATCGCGCTAATGTGTTGCGGGCAGCATTGGCTGATACTCTTCATCATGCGCATAGAAGGTATGCATTTCCATAGAAATAGAGAATCCGTCAATTACTGACCTAGGATGTCACTTACCTGGCTGGCCTCTTACGCCCGAACCCAATAATTAATCCACAATCTCAGATTGAAAACAATCTGATATCAGACCGTGACAGTCGATCGATCTCCTATCTGCATCCCAATAACCAAACCCTGCGAAGACAATCCATTTTTGGCGACGGATAAAATGCTCTGTGTCGTTCCATTTAGTGAGTTTTCACTCATATTTGATAATCAATGTAAACCAAATAAAGTAAATAAAACCGTACAAATAACATTAAAATATACATGTGTATGTTTAAAACATAACAAACAGTTTTTTTAATTATTTAAACAACTGGTGTATATTAAAATAATTAACTGTTGAAATCGAGCTTTCGTCAAATGTCATTTTCATAGAAAGGTCTATCCACAGACACCGATACGACCTCCCATGGATAGCTTGTATCGACAGATGGCTATTACAATCCGTCGATTGGTTATTGGCACACTTGTTACAACATTTCGATTAAGATTACTATGTCAGATGGTGGATTACGTATTGTTCGGGCGTTGGTCTCTCTATAAAATATTATAATGTGGATGGATTACCACGTTTTTGATTCATAGTTTCTTTTCGATAAGTCTAAGAATAAACACATCTAAGTAAAACGTTATTTTTTCAAGTTTTATATGAATGAAAACGTATAAATAATACCGTCATTTTTTGACGAACAATTTTTCAATAACTTCTTTTATCTATAAATTCATCAAAATCATTCTAACACAAGTACATTTGAGACCATTTATTTAAAGATAACATTTAGATGAGACACTCTATTTTATAAAATCTAAAAATAAAGTAAATAAACATAATAAAGTGTAAGTTTTTGACAACTTATTTGAACTCTTAATAGATACAAACGCAACGTAGTGATTGTGCAGAAAGAGATGCCGTGGAGGCTAGGCGCACCAATATAAAACTTATTTGTGTGTCATTTCGTTTATGTACAAAGATTATATAAAAGGAAGATTATTACGAAATGAACATCGAAACATAATATTAAAATAGTATAATTCATTACAAGTAAAGCCTGTCATTGCAAAGAGTTTCGACAAATGTCTAACCGAGCCGAGGCGCAGCCGAAGGTGAGGGTTGACAGTCGGAACAAGTTGCAATGACGGTTCCCGCACACGTGGGTACTGAACAACTATTTTTAAAACAGTTGCGAAAAAATTATGCAATTTAATTAAATAATAAAAACACAATAAACTCAACTAACTAATCATTTATTTCTTATACAAATTATTGTTCACATATACATTGGTACAGTTTTTTATACTAACTGGAGAAGTTTTAGGTTGTATATTTATTTACTGTTTGAGACAAACTATTATTAATTTCGTATGATTGTTCATGTATATTTAATATATAATATAACAAACAACTAAACGCGCAAAGAACATTTATGGGAAAATGGCGCCAACCGTAAAAGAATATAAGCAGATTTTTTTTCTTCACCCATTATGGGTAGGCAAAGGGAACTATGCCCATACAGCCAAGTCCTCAGTACAATTTTTTTTGATATGAAATGAAATTTAATGAGATGAAATGAAATCTAACCCCTAACTCATTGAATCAAATCATTAAATATGATATTGAAACAAAGCAGTAGCTTCTTTTAAGAAATATTTGCATGAATCATAAAAATTTCTATGATTTTTTTAGTAAAAACTTCGTGGTTGGTTTTTTCTTTTAATAGACATTATTTTGACAGTTGGGAAAGAAAACGCACTAGTTCGGAAAAGGTAAAAAAAAGCACGAGTGTGTAATAGCCCACATCCCGAACGCTATACGTCCCTGCAATACGCCACTTTTTGAGCAACTGTATTAAAAAAGTAAATTCAGACTTCGAATTCCGTGACGGTTCTCTTTCTATACAGGATCTAGGTCTTAACAACGTATTTGTGTAATTCTAGTTTCTACGCTCGCTGGCAAGCCTGGGAACGGCTTCAAGCATCCCAGCTACAATATGCTCCCGAAGAGTCCCAGCTTCGCGCAGAATGGAGTCGATTACTTGCTGCCGCCGCACGACCGGGCACGGCTTTGCATCAGGTAAAATTTGAATATCCAGCTTGGGTTAAAGCTTTGTTGAATGTAATATGTACTATTTAAATAAACCAGTCTCAATCTTGAAAGGCATCGACTTTATTCATGTATATCTTCAAAATTGGAATCAATATTGTTTCCCCAGATAAATGCGAAACCGGGCGAATTGCTGGGTTCGATTAATGGTGAAACAAAAATTTATTTCATGTTGGAAATTGTGTCTTAACAATTTTCCTTTAATAATAATCTAAAAGACGCAATTTTATAACAATATTTATAACTAACTTTACTAACTGGAATATTAAACTCATAATCAATTAACTTCTTGTTTAGTCTCTTTAAATAATGTCCATCATTTGTAATGATAATATTAGTAATTTATTTGTAAACTAATTTCCAGTTACACGTGTTTGCGCTGGCGCACGTGTTGCGGAGACCGGTGTTAGTCTACGGCGTTGATGTCGTCAATTCGTTTCGTGGGGAGGCTTTAGGATACGCTCGTTTTCAAGGTATGGAAGGTGCTTATTTATCCTCAATTAATAAGAAATAGATGTTTACTGTCACACATTTAAATCGATTATAATAAAAAAGCGCAGATTAGAGGGCAGTGTTGGCCTAGTGGCTTTAGCGTGCGACTCTCATCCCTGGGGTCGTAGGTTCCATCCCCGCCTGTGCACCATTGGTATTTATTTCTATGTGCGCATTTAACGTTCGCTCGAACGGTGAAGGAAAACATCGTGAGGAACCGACATTTCTTATACCCAAAAAGTCGACAGTGTGTGTCAGGCACAGGTGGCTGATCACCTACTTACCTATTAGATTTAAAAATGATCATGAAACAGATTCAGAAATCTGAGGGCCAGACCTAAAGAGGTTGTAGCGCCAGTGATTTATTTTTTATTTTATTTGGATCGCCTAGACAAATTGTTCTAAACGCAAAGTAATACAAACGTGCCACCTACAGTGCTACAGTCGTTTTAAAAAATCCGCAATAAATTTATTAGTAGTCCCAATCTGCTGACTTATAGTGCCGTATTGGCCGGGATGCGGTCTTTCTTTGCGTCCTACCCTTGGGGGCCTATGTGCTTTTGCCGGAAGCTCCAGATTCGTCGCCGCCTCTGTCGCCGAAGTGGTTCTGCAGGGCATGGAACTCTTTATTCCATTTTCTGCGGTGCCGATCGGTGGCAAGTCTCAGCCCTGGTTAAAACGTTCTTGCAAGGCGGCCTCGCGTCGAAAGCGAGAATGCTTTAAGGCATGGGCGGAAGCGGCGCAATCTCGTGGATGCCAATACCAGCGAACTTAAAAAGCATATAACTTAGCCTCCAGGTCCTTCAAACGGGAAATCACTAAGGCAAAGTCAGAGCACATTGCCAGATTTGGCGAGAGATTGGCCTAACTCCTTAGGGACTCGAGCCTTCTGGTCTCTCGCCAAAGCTGTCCAAGGGGGGATTTTTGTCAGCCCGCCATTCCGCCACTGCACAGGGAGGATGACTCTCTGGCCCACACTGCGAAGGAGAAGGCTGACCTTTTGGGCTGTCTCTTCGCGTCTAACTCGACTTTGGATGACCGAGGGAGATCACACCGACCATTTCGCGGTGTGATTCTTCGATGCCGGAAATCACATTCCGGCAACGTGCTGTCCGCAAAGCACTATCTTCCTTGGACATTCATAAGTCGAGCGGGCCGATGGTATCCCCAATTGTGCTGGTACTTGTGCTCCTGAGTTGGCTCCGGTCTTACGCGCCTTTTCCGGTACCTGTACTGCTCGGCACTGTCCCGAAGTGCTGGAAGACCGCTTTGATACATCCGATCCCTAAAAAGGCGATCGCTCTGATCCGTCCAACTATCGCCCAATAGCTTAACCTCCTTGTTCTCCAAAATAATGAAATCCATTGTTAATTGCCAGCTCTTGAGGTATCTAGAGGGCCACCAGCTATTAGCGATTATCAGTACGGCTTTCGTCGTGGTCGTTCGGCTGGTGACCTTCTTGTATACCTTACACATAGATGGGCAGAGGCAATTGAGTCCAAGGGGAGGCGCTAGCGGTTAGTTTGGACATAGCGAAAGCCTTCGATCGGGTGTGGCACAGAGCACTGCTCTGAAGCTTCCAGCCTATGGGCTTCCTGAGAAATTACCGATTGATCTCCAGTTTCTGGCCGATCGGAGATCAAGGTCGTATCGACGGAGCATGTTCCGACCTAAAACCCGTAAACGCTGGGGTCCCACAGGTGTGTCTATCCCCGACCCTATTTCTTCTGCATATCATGTTTGAAACTTAGCAACATTCATTGCTATGCGGATGACAGCACTGGGGATACTTTTTACACCGGCCGGGCAGGTCTTTCTCGGGCAATTGTTGATGAGTACCGGAACAAACTTGTGTCTGAAGTCGAAACTCTACTACGTGGAGTCTCAGATTGGGGCAGACAAAACCTAGTCCAATTTTAACCCCAAGAAGACACAAGTTTGCGCGTTTTCCGCTAAAAACACCCTTTGTCGCTACTCCTCTTTTCGAAAACACTCTTCTTAAAGCCACAGCCAGCATTGGAATACTTGGCGTTGACATATCGAGCGACGTTCAGTTTCGCGGTCACTTGGGGGGAAAGGCAAATTAGCCTCCAAAAGCTTGGTGTGCTCAGCAAGGGAGACGGTACTTCACTCCGGGCCACCGCATGCAACTATATAAAGCGCAAATTCGGCCCCACATGGAGTACTGCTCTCACCTCTGGGCGGGGCTCCCCAGTACCAGCTCCTTCCACTTGACCGTTTACAACGCAGAGCTTTCGAATGTCGACGACCAATCCCTGTCCGAGCGGCTTGATCCTTTGGCGTTGCGTAGAGATGTGGGGTCACCTGCATCTTCTACCGCATTTACCATGGAGAGTGTTCAGAGGAGTTGTTCGGATTAATACCTGCAGCTGAGTTTCATCATCGGACCTCGAGGCAGAATACGAAATCACCCGTATCACCTCGACGTCCGACGTTCCACAACTGGGCGTTTTTCAAGGCAGTTTTTGCCGCGCACCACCACTATGTGGAACCAGCTGCCCACTGAAGTATTCCCGAACCAATTCGACCTAGGGTCCTTCAAGAAAAGAGCGTACCAATTCTTAAAGGCCGGCAACGCACTCGCGAGCCCCTCTGGCATTGAGAGTGTCCATGGGGGGGTATCACTTAACATAGGTGAGCCTCCTGCCCGTTTGTCCCCGTTCTATAAAATAGCAGAAGTCACTAACCATTTTTTTTTATGGCTCTGGCACGATTTGTGCATTAGCCAGCGTCAAGTATAGGATTTTTTATAATTTGTACATGTCTTTTTAGAAATTCGACAGTGTCCTCTATGTACGGTTTAAGCACTCGCCCGGTACCGCATAACCCTCCCAAAGGCCGAGAACAAATACACTAACCATTTTAAACCGTAATATTCGTGCCGCATTTGTTTTAGGCATTATTTGTGCCCGTCATGTTTGAAGTCAAACTTGTTGAATAAGGCTTTCTTAGTTATTCTTAATCTATCAAGGTGACCCCAAAACTGGTGCTTTCCTCGCTCAACGAATAAGTATCGCAATACAGCGAGGTAATGCTGCCAATTAAGGGCAATTTGTTCTAATTTTCTATTTACCCTTTTTTTAGTTATTATTACTATGTTTGTTGGAAAAAAAAATGTTTATTTACTAAGGTATTTTATATTTATAGGTATATATTTACCATTGCTATGGGATGCGGAGTTTTGTTCAAAATCACCATTGTGCCTGGGTTACACTCGTGGACATTTTTCCGCGCTTGTCCCGCTTGAGCCATACTCGCATCGGCACGATTATATTTGCCGGTAAGTTGGCTTTTATTTGGTTGGTGATATAGGCTTTTAAATTTTTATCTATTTGATATATTATGCTTTCAGAGAACAGCAGGATGAGGATGGTGAGGATATGATATTTCTGCCCCTTACTGACTCAGAAGGAAAACTGTTACCCGTCCACTTCCTTACATGTGATGAGGTCAGTATCTTTTGTAGTTAGCGGAAAGGCTTAAGTGCTTATACGTTATTTAAGAATGGTATCTTAAAAATATTTGTCTCGATTTTCTAATGAGATCGACTACAATGATAATTCTACAACATTTGCGTTGCGTATTTATAATACGTCTCAATATTATACAAGGTAAAGTGAAATATGTAACTGTTAAGATATATAAGTTATTCTATAATGTTATTATATTAATCGTTGAACGGTATAATCCCGGGAACTACTGGGTCAAAATGTTTTTTTGGAATCATCATCATCAGCCTCTTTATTTGGTCCATTTCTGGACGTGGGCCTCTATTTTTCTACGCCCTGCACTGGCCTTTCTGTATACACTGGGAGCCAATCTCATTGACGATCAGTCTATCTAGTCGATGGGCGGCCGCGCGGTCTTTTATTCTGCCGAGTTCATCATTCAAGGTTTGGTTCTTGTCCATGCGCGCTAATTGACCTGCCCACCGCCACCCTGCCTTTACTACGTCGTATTATATAGTGCGTTTAAGTAATCTTAGCTAGGCCCCAACGCGTGTGGAACAAATACTAGTCATAGTCATATTTTTTTATAGATGGCAGACGAAGAAAGCGTAGTCCGTCGTTGGACGTGCGCGTGCGTAACGGAAGGTGGCGTACTCGCAGCAAGACAGCGCGTGCACGCGCGGCCCTTGCTACAGGCGCAGATGCTAGAAGAGTGGCTTAACCATTATAGAAGGCTGGCGTGAGTACTTAGATTGTTATTATTACCGCATTGTAATAAAAATAATATTGATTTGGGTTATTTTTATTCTAGTAATTTTTGAACTTCGAATTAATCTTAAATTAAGCTGTATATAGGATTGCTACTAAACAAGTTTTACTACACCCCTGTTGTTGATCCTAAGAAAAATATATACTAAATCATATTGTATTATTACAGACAACAAACCCGCGGCCCTTTTCCTCCGCGGCTTCAAACGGCTGAGTTTTCAAGCGACCCAGACACAGATGAAGAATAGCTCATAGACTGTATGTTGTATCATTTATATGTTTTGCAATCTAAAAATATAAAAAATTTCAGATAATAAAAATCCGTTTTTTTGTATAGTTAATTACTGAAAAGTTTAATATGTTATAGTTTGCGTGAAACGGAATTCAAAAATTAATTATATATAAATGATACAACAGTTGCCACACTAATAATTTAACAATTTGTTCAAACTGTTCTCTATCTGCTTGTATATAAATTTCTAAAGAGCTCGATTTCAATATCCTAGTATAAGAGACATTTATACTAGGATATCGAAATCGAGCTCGAAATGTAAACAAAAGTGTTGCCACAGTCAATTTTTTGTGTGATTTAGTAATTCAACTTAAAGCCACTAACAAAACAAAAAAATAACATTTAATATCAATCATCACATTATAGCGTTATTAAAATTGTCTTTGCTTGGTATCATAACTTAATTTAAGATTTTAGAGTCTCCTGTCAATGTCATTATGACAGTTTGTTTACATTTTGATTGTATCGGATACATTGGTCAATAGTGGTGCTTTCACATTAATAAACATTTCTGTGTTAAATATAGTGGGCTATTTCCTACGTTTATTTTGTCAATGAATTTGTTATATTCCAGTTCGTACGTAATTTTTTAAGCATACAGCAGGTTAGTAAATTTAGAAATCATTAGTTTTTTGTCTCTGGGAAGCCGAAAAGAGAATTCTTTAATAGTCATAGATGATTTAAATAGTTCAAAAATTCAACTAAATTTATTGTACATTTACTAATATTTTAATGGCATTCAGTCTGTATTATATTAACATCGTTTAACAGCTGTAGCTTATATATCTTCTGCTTACTTGGCAATAAGGGTTATCTGACACTTATTAAATGTAAATACTAAAAGCACTTGGTGATAATAATTATAATGAAAAAATATTGAAACTGAAGTTCTTCCTTCGCACTAGGAGAGAGAATAAGAAAGTTCAAGAGAAAGTGCATTGAAACGCTTTGAATGTTTAGAAACTTTACTAGAAAATATACTTGTTAATTGGTAAATCTTAGGATTTTTCTGGTTTGGTAAATGCTGGGACTTGTATGAAATTAAAGATCCTAATTGTGAACGTGAAGGGAGACATTCGTTTCAATAATCATGTTGAGAACGCTTAAAACACTTTATTTTTACAGAATAAAGTTTATATGGTAAAGAAAGAGTAAGGAATGTTGGCCATAGACATTTGGCAACAAAGTTACACGTTTAAGGATTATAAACATCATGATATAGATATTTGCAAAAAAAAAAATCTACAGTATTAATTCAACAAAATATCTTTGTAACCTCGTAATTTTTTATTTTACCGCCAAATCAACTTACTCTTCCTATATCTGGCAACACTTTGCAACCGCTTTCATTACTTAGTACAATAACACTGTAGTTGGCAATTATTGTAAGAATTTTATGAAGTTATTACAAAGAACTACAAATTGAAAGATTTGTATTTAAATGTATTTCTCTGAAATTAATTACCCATTATTTTTTACTTACATAGATAGTCTGTTAACATAGAGTATATGCAATAATTTTAATAGATTTCTAGCCGCTTAGAAAGTTCTTAATTACTTAGAATAATATTTAGAATAGAAAAACAGTTGCCGTGTCAGTTGTTGCAAAGTGGTAATTGATAATTAAGACGACTAACAAATAAAATACTGTTTTATCGGATTAAAGGACATCGAAGTATATATTTTATTACATAACGTATTTACAAATTGTCTTTATGTCATCTCCACAGAATAAACAAATATATATGTGTATTATAGTTATTGCAACAGTTTTGATAAAACAGCGTTTTATGATTGATTAATTTGGGTAATACCGCTCAAAATTGTGAATTTGTATCAATTGGGATAATGTTTTTCTTTTTGTAAGGTTTTTGGCAATATTTAATTTTTCCTAATATGCTTTTAATTTTTGTTCTTGATACTTATTCAGTGAATATGAAAGCTTGTCAATTGCATTCTAAAATTATCTTTGAGAAATTAATCTCTGAGGCCTTAAATACAAAAACTTTAGAAAATTATATAGTGTATCGTCAATAGTTTGACAAAGTGACTGTGTGATTAACCTCTTTCAGACAGTCGTTTTTTTCTTCTTTCAACCTCTAAAACAATTCAAATGTGTTTGTATTTGAGTACTGATTTGATTCTAAATTGTTTAAATGGAGAGAGTCTAATAGATATTGTACAGAGAGTATAAGTTATATTTATAGTTTGTAAATATATTGAAATTGGCTTGCGATGTAGTTGTATAAAAATGTATAGGGCTCGATTTTTAACTTGGGAATAGATTGCGTATTGTAGACTGGTATTATTAAGGTTCAGATTTTATATCAATAAAAAAGCAAATACATAATCAGTAGGGCATAAATTTTATAAAATTCAACATTATTTTCTCTTGATTGTATGTCACGATAAAAAGGCACACTCACCTTAAAGGTTTTCGTGCATTGCTAACAATTATTATATTGCTTGGTCGTGTAAACCACGACCAAGCAATATAATAATCAAATAAAAATTTGAGAACATGAAAAAAAAATGAAGCAAATTGCTAAGCATTTAATAAAGTTTTTCTATATAATTCTAATACAGATTATGAATATAAATATTTTGGTATATAGTTTACGTGACTACATGTATAAATTAAACTTAATTTTCATGAAATATTGTTACTATGTAGTTAATACGGAATAGAAAAATATTAAGTATTTTTTTAATATACTTAAATCTAAACTATAGTGGTCAAGTGGAATTTATGATACAATTAAAATTCCTGATTATAAATGAAAAGAGATACAGTCTACAAAACGCATATTTTAATCCACAGAGTATTTAGTTTTTCTTTTGCAGTTGAATATAAATTCACTTAATATATTGTTCCCAATTAGATTTTACAATTTCTCATCTCATTATAGTTATATTACTTTTATATCAAGTTGTAAATAGGCTTTTGGGGTTTCTTTTCAAGTGTTGTTTGGGGTTTTTTTGTTAACAAACGTACAATTTAATTTTTAAATTATCTATCTATAATACCAGCAGGTTTAAATCAATAAAGCACGCATTTTACGAAGCGTTTAAATTCTTTTATTTACTTTAAACCCCAAATATGATTAGATATTTTAATTACATTTTAAGCACTAAGTTTATTCGACTGTATTGCTGAAGTCCGGAAATGTGACATTGCACAAGTTCCACTTTTGTTTCTGTTCCATATGTCATATTTTAATAAATATATCTAGGAGGTATTTAACTATCTCGATCTGTACAAAAAAAAAAAAAATTTTAATACAACTTCCTGCAGGAATTGATTACTTATTATGTTTCTTATAAATTTAAAAGATAACTTAAAAAATTTTTTAATTACCTATTAAAGTTAAGTATAAAGTTAAAACAGGTATCATACTTATTCCATAATATCACGCATACATTTTCTTTTTTTTTAACTTTTTGGCAACAGCTTCAACTTTATGCCAGTTTCAAGTATCACGCATACATTTATGCACTTAAAGTTATTTTTAAATGTCCCCCTATATAATATTTATCAGTACTATACACGTAAAGCGTATTTTGGAACGTTATCTGGCGCTTGCGTGCTCAAGTGACAGCTGGACTGAGCTAGGCGCTAGCAAAACTATAAAACTGTCAAATTCGCTGTCGCGAGTTTCAAGTCGCGATTTAAAACCAAAAACGCTCGACTGAAGTGTAGTTTCTCTCAGTCTAAGAAAAAGTTATTTCTATAAAGTTTCGTGACTAAAGACGATTTATTGCAAAAAAATATGTGTTTGTGATATTAATGTGCGTAGTTTGTGATGCAGCAGAATATAATTCGAATTAGTTTTCAAAGCTAAGACAGAAGCAAAAACTCCGAAAAATGGGTATGTACCGGTTACTTAGTTTTGTAAAAATATTAGTTAATTTTTATACTGTGTAATACATTTCAATTTGCATCACACTCATCTAAACGTGATTTTTTTTTCATTCCTTTACCATTTGAAATAAGTCATGTTTCTCCGACTTAGAGGTGTTCGAAATATCGATTTTCTTCCGCGGTTTTCAAATTTGAAATAACGCTTTATTAAGCCGAGTACGGCAACGTTTAAGATAAACTGCAATTTTTATATTCTTCAACTCTTATTACTTTTAAATGTAGAAAATGCTGTCCTCTGTCTCATTTTTATTTAATTTTTTTTTCATTACCACAAGGCTCATACCAGCAAAAAAATAATTAACATTATTTAGTTAATAATGTTGCTGCACAATGTATTTATGGTTTTAAATAGTGTGTTAGCAAAAATGAGGTAAGTAGATTAGGTTTACCTTGCAAAGTGATTAGTATAAGTGTGGCAGGCAATTACATCACATACAGACTGCTAATCAGACTGTCCTTGACTGACCAACAATAAGATATTATTCCATAAATGACAATTTTTTTTCTTAAGATTTTTTATAAATATGTGTCACATTGTATTAAAATTAACAGCGCATAAAATATAAATAATATTCTTCTTTATTGTTTTCATCTGTTGATAATTAGTTATTTCTTAAAATAACTATTTTTGCTAATCATAAAGTTTGTCCCTTTTAACATTCTGTCTATGATTCTTATTAGAAGTTTTAAACATTTGCTCATATGGTGTAAATGATCTACAAAAAGTTGATAGTAATTGATATTGCAGATAAGTTAATGTGTAGTGAACTGTGACTGTTTCATTGTAATATTATAATGATACATATTATACTGATCTGGGGCTCTCAGTGATCTGGTTTTAACTAAGTTCACTTAAATAGTAATATTTAATATATAAAACTACATAGTTATTATAACATATTATTTAATCATGATTTATTAAATACAATTAGTTTACAAAGTTATAATAATGAGAGGGTGGTTTTTAGTTGCTCTTATACTGTAAATTTGTTTGTGCAAAATCATCTGCAATTATTATTTTTTTAAAGTTTGTA